TGCGCCTCGGTCATTGTCAAGCGCCTCGACGACGCAATTGCCGACAAGGACAACGTCCTCGCCGTCATCTTGGGCACTGCTACCAACCACTCTGCCGATGCCATTTCCATCACTCACCCTCACGGACCCACCCAGTCCATCTTGTCGAGACACATCCTCGATGAGGCGGGTGTTGACCCTCTCGACGTCGATTACGTCGAGATGCACGGTACCGGTACCCAGGCCGGCGATGGTACCGAGATGGTCTCCGTGACCAACGTCTTCGCCCCTGCCGACCGCAAGAGACCCGCCGATCGTCCTCTGTACCTCGGCGCTGTCAAGTCCAACGTCGGTCACGGCGAGGCTGCTTCGGGTGTCACTGCCCTGACCAAGGTGCTGATGATGATGCAGAAGAATGCCATCCCTCCCCATGTGGGCATCAAGAAGGAGATCAACAAGACCTTCCCCAAGGATTTGTCAGAGCGCAACGTCAACATCGCCTTCCACCTCACTCCCTTCAAGAGAAGAGATGGCAAGCCCAGACGTGTCTTCGTTAACAACTTCAGTGCTGCCGGTGGTAACACTGGTTTGCTGCTGGAGGATGCGCCCCACATGAAGGTCGCCGAGACGGACCCTCGCAACGTCCAGGTCGTTACCGTCACTGGCAAGTCCAAGGCTGCCATGATCCGCAACGCCGAGAGACTTGTCGGCTGGATGGAGCAAAACCCCCAGACGCCCCTGTCCCACCTGGCGTACACCACGACCGCCCGTCGCATCCAGCACTACTGGCGCATGAACGTCGCCGCCTCTGATCTTCCTGAGGCGCAGCGTCTCCTCAAGGACCGGCTCAAGGAGAACTTCACTCCCATCTCCACCCAGCAGCCCAAGGTTGTCTTCATGTTCACTGGCCAGGGGTCCCACTACGCCGGCCTTGGCAAGGACCTTTACGCGCACTACACCGTCTTCCGGGAGAACATCAATGAGTTCAACCAGCTCGCCCAGATCCACGGGTTCCCCAGCTTCCTGCCTCTCATCGATGGCAGCGAGCCTGATGTGACTAAGTTCTCGCCTGTCGTGGTGCAGCTTGGCTTGTGCTGCTTCGAGATGGCCCTTGCCCGCCTCTGGTCCTCCTGGGGCATCTCACCCAGCGCCGTCATGGGTCACTCCCTGGGCGAGTACGCTGCTCTCAACGCCGCCGGTGTTCTCTCTGCCAGCGACACCATCTATCTTGTCGGAGCCCGCGCCAAGCTCCTCGTCGAGAAGTGCACTGCCGGTACTCACGCCATGTTGGCTGTCACCGGCCCCGTTGAGGCCATCATGGAGGCCCTCGGCGCCCAGTCCGAGCATGTCAACGTCGCTTGCATCAACGGCCCCCGCGAGACCGTTCTCAGCGGCGCGGCTGCTAAGATCAGTGACATCTCGTCTCACCTCGGCACTGCCGGCTTCAAGTGCACCCAGCTCAAGGTGCCTTTTGCCTTCCACTCCGCCCAGGTCGATCCCATTTTGGATGAATTCGAGACCCTCGCTCGCTCTGTGAGCTTCGAGCGGCCGCAGATCCCCATCATCTCGCCCCTCCTCGGCAAGATGCTCGAGAGCGAGCCAATCAACGCTGCATACCTCCGTAACCACGCCCGGGATGCCGTCAACATCCTCGGCGGCCTCGTCCACGCCCAGCAGTCCGGCGCTGTCGATGAGAAGACCGTCTGGCTTGAGGTCGGTCCCCACCCCGTCTTGGCCAACTTTGTCAAGTCTTCCTTTGGCATCAGCTCTGTTGCTGTTCCCACCCTGCGCCGCAATGAGTCCACATACAAGGTTCTCAGCAACACTCTGTGCGCTCTCCACACTGCCGGCATCAACCTTGACTGGGACGAGTTCCACCGCGACTTCAGCGAGTGCACTCGTCTTCTTGACCTCCCGACCTACTCCTTCGATGAGAAGAACTACTGGCTCCAATACACTGGCGACTGGTGCCTCACCAAGAACCGTGGTCCTTCGGCGGTCAAGGCCCCTCTCCAGATCGAGCCTGCCAGACCCAAGCTGTGCACCACCTCAATTCATGGAGTCACCAATGAGGATGTCAATGGAGACATTGCCCTCGTTGAGACCGAAACCAACCTTTCGCGTCCCGACACTCGTCCCCTCGTCGAGGGCCACTTGTGCAACGGCGCTCCACTATGCCCGTCTACCTTGTACGCCGACATGGCCATGACTGTTGCCGACTACGCATACAAGATGCTCCGGCCCGACGCCGAGCCCGTTGGTCTGAACGTGGCCAACGTGGAGGTACCCAAGACGCTCATCTTCGATGACAAGCTTGATGCTCACATCCTCCGCACCACCGTCACCGCCAACGTTGCCTTGGGCTACGCCGATGTCAGCTTCCACACTGGCGAGGGTTCCAAGAAGACCGAGCATGCGCACTGCAAGGTCGTTTACGGCAGCACTGAGCAGTGGGCCGACGAGTTCGAACGCGTCAGCTACCTCATCAAGGGCCGTATCGACGCTCTTGAGGAGGCCGAGAGACAGGGCAAGGCTTCCAAGATTGGTCGCGGCTTGACCTACAAGCTCTTCACTGCTCTTGTCGACTATGACACCAAGTACCAGGGCATGGAAGAAGTTATCTTGGACAGTAAGACCTGCGAGGCCACTGCCAAGGTCAGCTTCCAGACTACGGACAAGGATGGTAACTTCTTCTTCAACCCTTACTGGATCGACAGCTGTTGCCATATCTCTGGCTTCATCATCAACGGTACCGATGCTATTGACTCCCGCGAGCAAGTCTTCATCTCCCATGGCTGGGGCTCCATGAGATTCACCGAGAAGCTCGACGCCTCCAAGACTTACCGCTCCTACGTTCGCATGCAGCCCGTCAAGGGTACCAAGATGATGGCCGGTGATGCCTACGTCTTTGACGGAGACCGCATTGTCGGTGTTGCTGGTGACGTCAAGTTCCAGTCCATCCCCCGCAAGGTCCTCAACATGGTTCTTCCTCCTCGTGGACGCGCTGCCGCCGGCGCCATCTCTTCTGCCCCTGCCCCCAAGGCTGCCGCTCCCTCCAAGGCGGCCCCCGCCAAGGAGAAGAGTGGCAAGGAGAAGGTCAGCAAGCAAGTCACTGCTAGCAACCTCAAGGCCGTTAACGCCAAGCTTGCTAAGCGCTCCGTTGTCCAGGACGTGTTCGACATCCTGGCCAAGGAGGTTGGTGTTACCCAAGACGAGCTTGCCGACAATATTGCCTTCACTGATTTGGGCTGCGACTCCTTGATGGCTCTGACTGTTTCCGGCAGAATGCGTGAGGAGCTCGACATCGACATCGACTCCCATGCCTTTGTCGAGTACCCTACCATCGGTGCCTTCAAGGCTTTCCTTGGCCAATTCGAGACAGCGGCAGGCAAAGACAGTTACGTCCAGGACTCTGGTGATTCCAGCGCCTCTGTCTCCGAGACTCCCGAGCTTGAGTCCGACTCCAACGTCACCACTCCTTACGAGGAGAGTGACCGTTCGGTCAAGGGCGACGCAGACGAGGAAGGCTGTGACCTCCAAAGTGTTCTTCGTGAGACCATCGCCACGGAGATGGGTGTCGAGGTTGATGAGATCGTTGCCGCTCCTGACCTGGCCGCCCTGGGCATGGACTCCCTCATGAGTCTGTCCATCCTCGGCACTCTTCGCGAGAAGTCGGGCATGGACATTCCCAACGACCTCTTCGTCACCAACCCATCCCTGTTGGAAGTCGAGAAGGCTCTCGGTATTGGCCCAAAGCCCAAGCCTGCGCCCGCTCCCAAGCCTGCGAAAGTTGCCTCGGCCCCCCGCCGCGAGAAAGTTGAGCCAACCCGGGAGATCAACACCCACCCTGGCAACACTACCGCATCCATCACCAAGCCGCCCCCTCCCAGAGAGATTGTTGACAACTACCCTCACCGCAAGGCCACCTCGATTCTCCTTCAGGGTAGCACTCGCACTGCTACTAAGAACCTGTGGATGGTTCCTGACGGCAGTGGTTGCGCTACTTCTTACACGGAAATCAGCCAGATCTCCAGCCAGTGGGCTGTCTGGGGTCTTTTCTCCCCCTTCATGAAGACTCCCGAGGAGTACAAGTGCGGTGTCTACGGCATGGCTTCCAAGTTTATCGAGGCCATGAAGGCCAGACAGCCGAAAGGCCCCTACTCCCTGGCTGGTTGGTCCGCAGGAGGTGTCATCGCCTACGAGATTGTCAACCAGCTCACCAAGGCAGGCGAGAGTGTCGAGAACCTCATCATCATCGACGCTCCCTGCCCCATCACCATCGAGCCTCTCCCCAAGAGCCTCCACGCCTGGTTCGCCTCCATCGGCCTTCTCGGCGAGGGAGATGAAGACGCCAAGAAGATTCCTTCTTGGCTCCTTCCCCACTTCGCTGCCAGTGTTACTGCCCTCAGCAACTACACTGCGGAGCCCATCCCCAAGGACAAGTGCCCCAATGTTATGGCCATCTGGTGCGAGGACGGCGTCTGCCACCTTCCTTCCGACCCTCGCCCCGATCCGTACCCCACGGGACACGCGCTCTTCCTCTTGGACAACAGGACCGACTTCGGCCCTAACCGTTGGGATGAGTATCTGGACATCAACAAGTTCAGGACCAGGCACATGCCTGGCAACCACTTCTCCATGATGCATGGCGATTATGTAAGTCCTTCACAATGTTCGCCATCTACTCCAAATACTAATAACACATTCCAGGCCAAACAACTTGGACAGTTCATTCGTGAAGCGGTTTGCGAGTAAGAAGCCTCACAGCGGGGCACATGAGCACACACGCATTGCAGGGTATAGAAGGGGACACACAGGACATTACATGACATGCGAGCATGATATGAGACTGACTTTATCTTTTCCTTACATTATCTATTCTCTTTCTTGTTACCATCTTTTCTTTTTCCTGTCTTAACATTTGATATCCGCTCCCTGTATAAGTTCGACGCCATTCATCTACGAATCATTCCTTATCCTTACGTCGATGGCTGGGGGGGCGAACGCTGGAGGAGGATTTTACTCACATGAGGGGCGTAACTGTCTCATAATGGTCTCTATATTTCCTTATTTGTCACGATCTGCTTTTTGTCCTTCCTTACAAACAAACCAACCATGGCTTTCGGTGTTTCAGTGTTTCGAATTTGGAAACGGTCCATAGAATGTACGCTTTCGCCGTACCCATCATAAGATAGCAGTACTTTGAGTTTACAATACACAAAGTCAAAATTACGGCACTTCCCAAATTTCTTCGCTGAGGTTCTATTGAAGTTGAGATGGTTTTTCCATGTCCCGATGCGGACCGCCCACACCCTACCCTCCCTTTTGCCTCGGGCTTTTTGGATCTCTTCGTCCCAAGTCAAGGAGTCTCTCGACGGCCTGTCTCGTTAAGTTGGCGTCTAATCTCTTCGTGGCTACCACTTCGCACCCACTCCCACCTACGAAATCCCCGATTTGGGGCGGACCGGGTGGCCACGAGCATATCGCGTGCACGTGGTCCCCATATGATCCTCACCTGCTTTCCCCCGCCTCAACCGTAAGTGACCATCCAAAACGTGGAGCGCGAACTCTACCGCTTAATAGCACCACCAGCCCACCACACCACCCATGCGTAACCGTCATCTCTTGTCTTCGACCCCATATTTGTACAACAGATTGCAAGCATGCTTCTTCTGGCATCCCCCTCTTCGACGGCCCGTCTTCTCGTGTTCGGAACCAAAGGGTCCATACATCTATCCAACCCCCCCTTGTCTTTGTGATCGTCACCCGCTCGCCTGCCCCTCGCCTGGGAACCTTAACCCGTTTTGGGGGAGCTCGATATGAGCGGCTGTTTCCGCTTCCCCCCATCTGTAGATGGGCTGGGTGGTGTGTGTGTGTGTGTCTACAGTGACATGCAATAAGTCTGGGCTCACCACACAATGTGCCACTTTGAATAGGTGAGCCCAGACTTGTTACATGTCACTACGGAGTATACCTACCTCATCCGTTGTCCTTCGCCGTTGGCGTATGTCCGGCCTTCCGCGACAGCCTCATCTTCGGGGAGAAGGGGGATCGCACTCCGTCCATGCGATTCTGCGGCACTTTTTTTTTCTCTCTTCCCCTTGCCGTTATTGGGTCGTCAAGCGGGCTGTTCGTTGTGAATGAGCGGGCTGGCATCCGAATACGTCCATTATCGCAAGGCTCAGCAGCTGCCGGTGCCCTCCCCGTTCACGTATCCAAGGGGGAGGAGGTCGACTCAACCTGCGATACCCGCGTGGCAGGGCACATCACCCCGCATGGAACCCCGGATCGCGATGGCCCCCGATGCCGTTCGATACGAATGACGTTACCCCTCTCTTCCTCCTCCTCCTCCTCCCTCTTCACATACGAAGAAAAGGCAGCAGGCAGTCTCCTACAGGAGGGGAAATGCATTGGGCTTAAACAGATCGGGGGGGTAGGAAGACGTCGTCCAAGCAGAGTCCCTCCGCCGTCGCTCCGAAAAGACAACGTCGTCATTGGTATCACGAGGATGGGCCCCTGTTGAGCAAGGCGAGAATCTCCATACCACCCAATTATCATACAACGTGAGTATGTATGTACATAACCAACTCCCCGCACGCCCCATGCCTGCTCTCCCGCGTGAGGGGGAATGGTTTGGCGATTCTGAAGATGTCATGGGTTGCACCCCCCTTTCAGGAACCAAGGTACGTTTATCAAGGCGGTCCCCCCTCTCAAGGGTCGCACAAGGTGCACAATTATAGTGGCATAGTCGAAGAAGAAAGAAAAGAAGGAAAAAAAGACATTATCAGTATCATGCCCAATCCTCCACACAGTAAATAAGGTTACGTTCTATATGAACAGAACCATGGAATATCATAACTAAGTCCCCCCCCCCTCTCCCCCATCAACCAAGGCAGAGCTTTCTTTCGGGCATGAGTTCCCCCTTCAGAAACTTTTTGTCTTTTTCGACCCATATCTCATATCTGCACAGCCGTACCAAGCCACGCTCCTCCCTTTCTTGAACCCCTTGCCGTCCTGCGGCGGATCTTGGTCGGAGGCCCACATTTCCGTTCTCTCTCTCTCTCTCTCTCTCTCTCTCTCTCTCTCTCTCTCTCTCTCTCTCTCAGAGCTGCTGACCCCAGTTTTCGGCGTCATCTAACCCCCCATGTCTCTTGTCTCAAACATGCGCGTGAGCCTTGCCGTGGGATACACGCCCGAGGACCACGCGCGCGCGTGTACCGTAGTGTACATGTTTTGTCGTGCCACCGAGGGGCAACAGCTACACTTCCACTCGCAGCGCAGAACGTGCTGGCCGCGGCCGACTCGGCTTCGAACTCGGCTCCAACAAAAGGGGACAAGATTTGCGATTCGTCGTGCTTCCATCACTGACACGAGAGAAAAGCGCCCTCAAATCCCTCAACTGAGACAGTCATACCGCATGCTGCATTCGCAGGGAACAAGGTGGAGCGAAGCCCGGTCTTGAAGGAGGGCTATTTGTCGTCTGATCCGGCATCAGCACTCCCAGGCCGATCACCATCGCCAAACGAGATTGGCCTTGCCGCGTTGTTGTTGTTGTTGATGTTGTTGTTTCGTGAATTGATCCTGATCCGCCTTGTCCGGTTTGCCTCGTTATGTGCCGTCGCTTCCGCGCCAATGTCGGGGCGTATACGGAGTCTGCATGCATCATCTATCTTTCAGGCCTTGGGTCTGTACTGCCCATTCATGACTGGCTTCACGCGCGCCCGCTTCGGCAACCAGATGCACCGCCGTCGCATCATCGTTCTAGGTACAGCACATTACAGTCCAGCGTCGGTTTGTCGCCGATAATGCCTCCTGGCAATCCCGAGTGGGATCTTTCTCTTGCGACCCGGCCGAGGGGTTTGTCACTGATCAAGCACCTCAGCCACGACTCGCGACTGGAGATAATGCACGAAGCCTGGTTCCATGACTTCTTTGTGTGACACTGGGGAAAATCTCAAGGGGTTTTTTTTATTTTTATTATCTCGGGCGCTTGTTGACATTGTAACCAGGCAAATGGTCATGTGGATCGCAGGCATGCTATCGATAAATGACCTTGTCCTCAAGTGGTGTGATCAAGACTATCGAATGCTGTATCACAGCTGGACAATACGAGCCGTAAAACGAGAGACTTCAGCTACGAGGAACATATTCTGCCGACCCATGCTGCAGAAGAAGGAGAAGAAGAAGACAATTGGGATCGATTGCCTCTCGGTACTCAAGTTGCCTCGGATAGACAGACTCTCATCAAGGTTGACGATGTTCGCCAACGGTGCGTGTTATCGTGCAACATTGGAAACGGCACCCAGCTCCCGTCTGATGGTTTCTCGATATGACAATTTTGGGTGTATCGTGGCATGAGAAGTAACGTCGCAAGAGGCTTTCTCCCTTGCGGACGTAAAGGGAGCCGACCAGGGCCGGACCCTTCGCTTCGCCAAAGGCAGTCGTCATCGTTTCTGCATCATACCAGCATCCTGTCACAGCAGCGCGGACCGGGAAATATCACCAGTCCACAAAACGACGGAGAAAAAGGTCCAGCTTGATGGGCTGGCGACAATGACAGTCCGTACGACAGCCATTCTCGTCTTAGACGTCAAGACTCAGGTTTGAGCTCCGCTCCATGCAATGCAACACCAAACCACTGCACGAAATTGTTCATGGACTGGCCAGCAGGCAATTCCGCATCTCGATACCAGCGGGTTCCTAATGCGGATGGTTGGACATCCAGTATAGTCAAAAACGCCTAGGAGCTTTCTTTTTGGTGAGGTGGTAGTGAATTAATCACTCTCAACATGACACGTCCTGACATGGCCTACGAGACTCATTGTTAGTTCCAGACCTGAACGGAAACACCATTTAGACTCCTGACCGACCATCTTTTGGCAAGAGGTGTTCTCCGGATGCTTACATCTCAGCACCAGTCTCTCATCCACCATGCACCGTCCGAATGCCCTTGTCGTCACGAGAAAGTGTAGATTCGGCTCCTTGGACCAGGTTGCATATAGTGGGTATGGTCCCATGCTATTTCGAATTACGTACTTGCAAACTTGAAGCGTTAGTCGGATGCACAAAAATCCTTCGTGCATACGCACGAATATCAAATCCAAGAAAGAGGATGCACACGTTGCGGAACAACAGTAGCGTTGACCTAGCCGCACCTCGATACGTGCGTTCACCTTCCCTCCGTCTTCTGCTTCCTGTCGACAAGTAGTAGACGCATTGGCTTTCCCAAGGGTGGAATGCCAACGGTCAAGGGGCGCCATTCAAAGAGTGTAAGAAGTTCTAGCTTCGATCGGGCGACGGATGGATTTTTGCTCACCACGCATTGACTTAGTAGCGATGGTGGAGATCTCAAAGTTGAAATTCGGGCGACGGTTGCAGTTCCATACAACGCGGTCTGCCAGTTGAATTTTCGTTGAGGCTAGCCGCCTATACCATGTCTGTGCTGGTCACATTTCCCTTAAATATTGCACGCCATGGCCGTCAGACCACCTCTCTGATGTCCTTGGATGAGGACCTAGGTGAATAAAGCACGCTCCTAGTTGGCTGTGGCCATCGAGCTTTCGATTGTCAGGCCATAATAGGTGTTCAGGTGGTTGGAAGGCCAACGGAAAGCGCCCTGACCATAGGAGTATATTTGTGCGACTTTGGCATGAGAACCTGACTCGGCTGCCTTTGTTCAGCAGGATTTTCGAAGTCTCTTTAGGCAAAACGATAAGGTTCGGGAATCAGACAACCAAATTTGACCGACTCGGGGGTTTTCCATGGTTGGATAGGTCCCATCGATCGACATGTCTCAGCATTCCAGATCGGCTACCCGGGCGGACACTGCAACGCCCCTTCTCATGGATCAGCGCCGCAACCTACCCATACAAGTGAAGCAGCCAGGCTTGCGTTGGTGCATCACGGCACGAGCGTTACCGGGTTGCAATAATCCCGACTGCGAGAACTAGGCGCCGCCTCCAACTTCACAGTGAGAAGTAAGCGTTCTGTACCAGAATAGAATGTTAGCAGGAAGGGACGGCAGTGCAACCAGGTCTGCCGGTCCTGAAGTTATCGGTGCCAAATGCAGGTGGAGAGAGAGTTGTTGGCTTGAAGCAGACAAGCCTCTCTCCACTTTTAGTGCTGCCCTCATCAAACCCCACATGCTGATCTACGGCGGCTTGAGTATCATTAAACTGCGTACCGAGAACTTGATTCTGTGAACATTGAACGATGAATAGCTGGCCAGTAAACTGTCGCGTAAAGGCCATACATAGCCTGGGAGAAGAAGCAATGGTTTTAAAAACACGGATACTGTTCGGATACTTGAGACGTATCGAATGAAAGCAGCTCGTGGGTTATTGCTTTTGGATGGCCGATATCGTTGGATGCTTGGCATCAGAAACATGACCAGAGGAGGGAGGCCCATGGGCGGATGCTAGCACATGCAATAACCCCTGCTTGTTGAGGAGGTCGGTGAAAGAAGTAGCCATGGTACTGTTGATTAGTCGAGGTGCGCTTTCCACTTATCAGATATCGGATGAGCAACATGAGCCCTAGCGTGCGCAAGTCGTTGTGGGCAGTGTGTCCCCGAGCCCGTCCCTCAGAATGAAGATGCATCGTGGGAGACAGACTGCCCTTGTCGATAAGTGCTGATTACCGACAAACAGGGGCGATACTTAGCTGTCATTGCAACTTTAGCTTTGAGCTTGTTTTTCCGCAGCAACCTCGGAGGGTCTTGCATTATGGTGAATCACAGTCGCCGGGGTAGCTCGTGATGGATTGTCTCAGTCAATGGACGGCGAGACAATCTTGTCGTCTCTGCTGAGTACCGGAGGGCTCCAAATCCCAGAGGAGACACAAATCTTGTTTTTTTTTTGGAGAACTAGGCGGAAGTATGAAACAGATTTGCGTGCGCTAGCAATGAACGCTTATGTGGCCTAGTACTCGATTACCGTCCACATCCTGACACCACGCTCGAACGTTGAGGGCAGATGCTTCAAAAACGCTCTAGCGTTGGACAAAAGAGGACGATGCCAAATTTCAAAGAGCCACGTCAACGCCTCCTCTTGCAGCAATGATGTCACCAGCTGCGAATCAATCATGCCTGATCATGACTAACAGCTCTGAAAGATACACCCTGCTCCATGCTGATTTACTCGGCAAAGTCGTTTCAATTTCATGGTTCTGGGGGATGGAAACCGCCGCTGGGACATCGAACTTTGTTTCTGGTAATTTTCAGCTTGGTTCGTATGGCTGATCAATACCCTTTGTGGTTCTGTCATATCATACCGAAGTGAAGTGGCGTTTGGTAGTTGCCAAGTAAGCCTCACTGCAAGAAGTGTCGGCCAGAAATGGAAGACGTCTGCTTCCTGATGAAGTTAACCCTTCTTTCGTTTCGTACATGTAGTCGCCGGTTAGCTGAGCCCTGCTGCCGGTAATCGAGAAAATGCAGGGTAACCGAAAGGCCAGCTGAAGGATGCCAATCGGATCCTACAATTAACCCCATGCTGGTTGACAGGGTATGTTGACAAGCAAATAAGCATTAGGGGTTGGAGAACGAAATACCAGGAGATAAGCAGTACACCAAATGCGCCAGATACACCAACCATCCTGGTTGGCTGCTATCAAGCCCGCCATCCTGCCATATCTCGGGCATCAGCCCCGCGGCAACGGCGTGGGCCACTAATAGTGGCCCACTACTGAGGTGTTCATCACAAAAAAAAAAAAACACACCCTAAGCCGCTGTCAACTTCAGTCTCACTCTGTGTAATTCTCCGATGTCTCTGGACCGTAGAGGCGGTCGTCTGCAACAGGCAAGAGGGGTTGTCTCTGGCCGATTGATTGTTATTCTTTGAAGGCGCTCCAATGTAGAGGGCGTTCAAGACCTCATCTGATGACCTGTCTGGGTCTACCGTTGTGTAGCGAGGATAGATACCGGGATCCATGTATGAGACGTTCGAAGACGGGAGAGATGCCTTGTGGCTTTTTCGTTTCTAGCTGACAGGACTAATTTGGCATTGTTCTCAGGCAGGGAGTGGGGCGACAGGTTGCTGGCGAAAAGATCGACGCGATCGGCCGGCCGTTGGCAGGCTATTGCTATTGCCATTGCTGTCTTGGGTTTCGTGGGCTACTGTGGCAAGGTGTAGTTGCACGGTGGCTGCAGCAGGGCGTGGCGGAAAAGGAACAACGGCAGTGGGGGATGAATGTTGGGCAGTAGTCTTGGCAACATCTGCTTCTTCCACAACTCTCCGCCCGTGGGGTCAGACAGTCGAGGCTGTATCCGAACGAACCAGTCGAAATCGACCTTTGGTCTGGTCTGGTAACGTAATTTCGAACCTGGAGAAACAGCCGAGAGGATATCATACAATGTACATAGTATGTCTTTCCACCGGCCAAAGCCACGATGGAGTCGAAGTGGGGTTCCAAGGTCAAAACCAAGGTGGATCTCGTCATGCTGAGGCCCCAATCTGGCCAACGTATGACCAATAAGGCGACCGAGCCGGGTGCTTCGGTTGATAATCATGATATGGAGAATGATAGGGGCGTCCCAAGGCAGCGAGTAGCCGAAGCGGACGAGCAGCCAAGGTTCCTAACGGAGGTCCGAGAGGGAACAGGGGCTGCGATATCGTTTGTGCGGTTGGAGATGTTGCGTGCGGATAGCCATGTAGTTGGGTTGAGGCAATATGAAATCTTGACAGCTGCAGAAGTGGCGGGAGGAAGAGGTTTCGTCTCAGAAGATGGTGCATATCTCTTGATAGTAAACTTGGCAAGTGAGGCGGCCGTGTGTTGGCTCAGTGTGTCCAAGTGCCGCAGCTGGCCTGACGCCGGGAGCAGCGGAAGCATGGCTGCAGTGTAGTGTAGTGTAGTGCAGTGCAGTGCAATGCAAGTCCATACTGATTCCGACGCTGAGAGTGGAGGCGAGGGTTGGTGATGAAGGCGTTGCCGTTGCTGTCGCCGTTGCCGCGGATCGCACTGATGCCGGTGCTGGGACTCGATGGGCGCGTGTGCTTGCAGGGTGCACAGGTACAGGGCGATGCAGTTCCTGGGACGACGGCAGCTCGTTTGTGTTTCGAAACATTGAATTCTAGAAACAGGGGAGAATGAATCACGGACGATACCAGACTGGTGCCGATGGCAAGCTAGTATAGCATATAGCATACCGAATTAGCCAGGGAGGAGGTTGAAGATTGATTTAGTGTCTGTACGATGTCGGGTTGCAGTCCAAGTCGGAGCTGGGCCCCGGTAACACCCACCCACATACGCACGCACATGAGGGGAAAGGGCAAAATACATTGGAGAGGGTAGAATGGAGGGGAAGGTACCGGTACACGGTACCTTGGGTAGGGGGAGAGGAAGGTGCGCGAGGAAGACCTAGCCCACACACGCGCGTGCGCGCGCCCCTCTCCTACCTACCTCGTATGTGTAACATCGGAACCTGAAGGAACGGATGGATGGAGGTACGTACTGGGTTATACCTGTACTACCTACCTACCTACCTACCTACCTAGGTCCCGATGCGCTTGTGGAAGCAGGACGCGTGCCTATGTATGGAAGGAAGGAAATGATTGCAACTCCCCGCGCCTGCTCAGTCCATGTCCACGGCACCGTGCCGACCTTGATCGAGGCCTTGAGTTGGAAAGTGGGGGCAGGAAGCACAACACTGAGGGAAAGGAAACAACAACCGCGGCGACTGGTGAGCGGCTTGTCCCGCCGCCGTCCTTTCCTTTCCTGGAGGCAGCGTTGCTGCCCCTCCGGCCCTTCCACCGTCACGGTTCGGTGCCGCGCCGTGGCAAGTGGGTCTCGGTCGTTTCTCCTTCCCCCCCTCCTTCCCCCCTTGGTCCGCCGACGATACCTACTACCTACCTTCCTGCATCATAAGGTAGGTCACCACTTACGCACCTAGGTAGGTAGTTAGGTGCCTACCTGTTTTTCTGAGACATCTCGACAGATGCGCAACCGCCATCCGCTCTGAGAGCAGAGCAGCCAGGCACGATAGACCCGCTTCCCTCATTCACCACGCGTTCTTCATCCATGGGCCAAGATATATTCATCCTGACTCGCCATAGCCGTGTCGAGACCATGCCACTTTGACCACCATGACAAGCAACTGAAATCGGCCAATAGTTGTGATTCCAAGCTATCCCGTCACAACGGGGCCCCGAACAGAAGAGGCTTCTCAACGTCTACCAACGTTGACCTTCTCTTGCATTTCTCGGGCAACGTACCGCGGGCTCTGTGCGAGGTCCCGGGCCATACACGTACATACCTAGGCCACCGGTTTCCTTCATGTAGTACGCTGCGAGAGTTTCGGCAAGCAGTAACTTGTCTGACGCCTCGTTCCGTTCGCCTCGGAAATTGCGCGCGTTGCCGTCATCATGATGGCTAGACAACGACGCCTAGTACCAACCACACGCAGCATGCAGCTCTCTCTCTCCCTCTCAGCGCAGCGGCCGATGCTCGGGGACACTCCAGTCACCTGGCCTTCCTGCTCGACAGAAGGGTCTCGCCAGCTAGCGGCCATTGTGAGTCGTTGCTCCATCCGAACGTAGGCACCCAAGTCCGAGGAAGCAGAATGGCGCCATTGAGAATTCGCGGAGCAACCAAGCTGGCAACGTGGTATCGAAACGGAGAAGCAGGGCACAGAAACGCAAGACGCCCCAGGCAAGCTCGGTGATTTCAGTCCCCCACGGGGTTGTGGTTTGGGGATAAGGTGAGAATGATGGTGAATGACGAGCACACTTCCAAGCCTGGCGTTCCGTTGGCGCTGTCCAACGGGGCCGCTGGAGGGATGCCTTGTCCAACCAACCAAGAGAGGCCTGGACCGTGAGGTTGGAACTCGAGGTCCACGGCAGGGAGATGTTGCGACATCTGATCGTGTCCGCTACCCCAAGACTGACGGTATGCGACGGACGAACCGTTCGGTCGATGCCCACCAAGTTTCGCCCGGGGGGTTCCCCCTCCCTACAACTTTATGCACTGGGCAGAGTAGGTAGGTACGTGCAAACCCATCAAATGGCTAGATCGGTGCTTCGGTTGCTTTTGCTGGGCCATATACCATGGCGTCGGATCTGGCACTAGCACAAGACAAAAGAAACAAGCAACAAGCATTCGTTCGAATCTACAGCCCTTTGAGTTGATCCTATGTATACTTGCAAACATAGAAAAGTGAGCGTTGATTATGATACTCCGAGTTTGGCTCTCCACGGATGCATGACTGGTGCATCTTCGCGCTGCCCCACTGCAGCCGGAGAGGAGAGTACGGGGACTTCTGGGCGCGTGCAGCATTGGACATGTACGAATGACGGCTGCCTGATCTTCCGTAAGGAAGGGTAAGACGACTGACGGTGGTAAGAGAGGAGTAGACTGTAACCGATACGAAGAGAGGGAGAGAGGGAAATGAAAATAAAAATAAGAAAAAACAAACCTCCTGGGTCCGTACCTGGCTGAGCAGCGGCCCAAGCTTCTTTCCCAGCTTCACCAGGTACCTACTCCCACGAAAGCAGGGGCTCCCTAGCGACGATAGCGGCGGAAGTAGGGGTCTAGTGGGCCCCACTCTTGGTGTGCTATGGCCCGTGGCTTCCCTCTCTACCTACCGTATTATTTGGAAGCTGGGGATTGCGGAAATGGACGGCCTCCCATCTGCTAGTCACATGATGCGAGACCAAAGGAGATTCAACAGAGACAAGCAAGCAGTACGTACCCTTGCCGACGGCAAGGAGTTCCGCTCTAATCTCTTGCTGTGCCTGAAAGAAGAACAACACCTCTAGCAAGCGAGTAAGTACCTAGCTAGGTAGAAGGAACCAAGACAAGAAGACATGAAGACAGGCAGCAAGCAGGTAGGTCTTTGCTTACTACCTACCTACCTACCTACCTACCTACCTACCTACCTACCTAGTAATGTACCTTTCCGCTGTTGGTGTTGGTCCCATCTGCCTCGCCGCCCATTCATCATTGTTATCTTCCACTGCCCAATCTCAGCCCCGTCTCACCCAATGCATTTGCCTTTTACCCTTGGCCCTCGGTCCTCTCCCCGTCCTCTTCCCACCTCAGGTCTCAGCACCGTTCCTTGTCTTCTTTCCACCTCACTTATCCATCTCATCCTCGCGCGCACGCACGCTTCTGTTCGTCCTCCTCGAACCAGTACCTACCTATTCCAACGGGCCGACTCCTCTCCAACCTCTAACGCCCAAGACTGCCAAAGTCTTGGTTGCCCAGCATGCCTACGGTACGGATACATACCTAGGTATTCATTCCAGCCCTCTTTCTTACTGCTATCCAATCCCGACGTGCAATTCCCCTCTTCTTCTCCCAAATGCGGCATCTACTTCCCCAATCCCTGCACATGGCTGCCCCCCCTCTCAACCACCTTTGGTCGGGCCTGGGTCTGACCGAATTCGCTGCCCACAGATGCGCCTGAGCCATTCCGAACTTTACCTTGGCTTGCTCCATCTACCCTGCCGTCTTACCGTACTGTATCTTGGAGAACCATGGCCCGCAGCCCATGACATACACACACACACATACATACACACATATATACACAACATTTGCCTACCTACCTAGGTACATGGGGCATTCCACGTACCGAGTACCCTCCCGATGCCTGCCAGCACTGTCCGAACACGGCATACAGGCGCCCAGCCCACCTTTGTCCAGCGTCATCACGCTTCCCCTTCCACCGCGCTCCCTTGTCCCAATTGTTATGCTGTCTCTGACCATTTTACTTTTTCCCACGCCGACTTGGAACGAACCGTTTCCCACCGTCCCACGTCTTACCTTATCCAGCGCTGGCCTGTCCCCGTCCCTAACCCGTCATTCATTGCACTGCTTTGGCTCCATGTCCACCATTCACACCATTGCCACTCCCCACCGCGAGGGCCATCATCACCATGAATCATCATCATCCCGCCGCACTGCACCGTACCGTACCGCACTGCACAATGCAGCAGAGCACAGAGCACAGAGCAACTTCTGGGTTCTGCCCTCGGCATGAACCAGCACACGCTGCCCTCTTCTTCGTGCCTGCTCCCTCCCCCTCTGGTTGTCCCGCCATCCAATGGGCGAAAACAACACCCGTGGTCTGTTCACCCACCCCTTTCGAATTCAGGGTCTGCCCGGCTGGGTCTTGACATGGATCGACTGCCGACAGCCTGACTTTCGTCGCCGTATGCCCATGGGGAAGGAAGCTGGGGAACCTAGGAAGGGCAAAGGCAAGGCCTGTCGTATCCCCCAACACCCGTGTGAATGGCTTCATAGCTCCCCTCTTTTCCCTACACCGACCCAGATGCCACCAATGTTGCCTGCATGCCCAGACAGGCCTTCATCCAACCCAAACCGTCTTACCCATGCCTCAACTTGGCCTGGTTTGGCATCGTCTTTTCTGTTTCGCCCCGTGCTGAGCTGTCGACCTGCTGCCGAACCCTCTACGGTATCTCCCCGGTCAGGTCACCTCGTCCAAGCGGTCGAGCAAGCACCAGCACGCACAGGAGAGACTGGTCCAATGTCAATTGCCCTCGACTACCAAGGGTATCTGCGCGTGGACGAGCCCATGTCCACCACGCCAATGAATCAGTGCAAATGTACCAGCTAGCCGTTTGCGTGGTCCGTTTTCTTTTTCCCTCGCTCTGCAACCCCCGTCTGCTGCCCTTTTTCTTACCACACACACACACTCACTCGCACTAGTAGCTTTCGTACATACATGCACACCTAGGCGAGCCTCTCTCTCTCATTCTCTCTCTCTCTCTCTCTCTCTCTCTCTCTGTGTGTGTGTGTGTGTGTGTGTTTGTGTGTTTGTCTCTTTCTCTCATTCACCCACTACCTACTCGTGTTTCTCTCTGCTCCCTCCACAGTGGGCCACCCAAGAATACCTAGGTCAATCCGTCCACGCCCTCTATCAGAGTCACAGCCACCATGTACATGGATGGGGTAGCGTGTATAAGCCAACGGCATAGCATATCTAAATCAGGCCTTCGCTTTTTTAACCGTTCATCGTCCGCTCCTTTTCATCCACGTCGCATGCTCCTCGCTCTCACAAGCTTCCATCCCTCGTCCCTTCCTACAGAAACACCCGGACTTCTACTCCATGCTCGTCCCTCTTGGACACTGGGTAATGGCCGTGACCGTTTCCGTTCCTGTTTCGTAATCCCAATTCCTCTCCCAGCTGTCTACCTTGCAGTCGGCTAGATTCCGCTCAATCTCGCCCTAACCCTCGATACGTGGCCCTCGGAGCCCTTCTGGTCTTCGTCGCCCTCTCACACGAAGCCCCTAGGAGCTTGCTAATCCTCTTTCGCCCTATACGCCCTCGCACTCCATCGTCACACAGACATCTCACTCTTACCACCTCTAGAACTCTAATATATCCCGCCATTGCCCAATTCTTTAATAGTGGCTTTCCCCCTTCCACCATTACCACGCTCTCCGGACTCGTGCTTCTTCATTAGATCAGGATATCCTCTATCCTTTCCAGAGCAACACCTCACAGGCTCGAGAGTCTCTTCATAGTCAACAATGTCTTCCAACTCCAAGCCTCGACAGCCCCGACTCCGGGCTTCTTGCGATGGTTGCTTCTTGGCCAAGGTCAAATGCTCCAAAGCAAGGCCCATCTGCACCCGATGCCTGGCGTGCGGCCTCGAATGTCGCTATTCTCCCTCAAGCAGAGCCGGCAAACCAAAATCTGATCACAGCGCGCCGAGCCACGCCAACACTGTCCACATGGACATGACCGACCTGTCCCCCATCATGGACGAGAAGAACCTCATGTTCGGCCAGCACCCCGGCATGTACAAGATGGAACCTGGCTGGCATACCCCCACAAGCATGGAGGGTGCCATGAGCAGAAATCCGTCCATATCTTCCGGGCTTGCCATGCTTGGCGTCGACGACACAACCCCCAGAGACCAAGATCCGACAGCAGACATGTACGGTGGGGGCATGCCTTGGACTCCTCCTACAGACTTCTCTGCAGCGCCGTATTCCGACATGACGATGGCTACCGCACACATGAACTCCCAACACGGACGCTCTCACTCCATGGAAATGGCCATGGCAGCTCAAATGACGCACTGGGGAGACCCAACGCAGCACGATATGATGCCGTACGCAGCGATGCCGACGACGACCAACATGACTGCGGCAGCCTACTTTCCGAGCCCTTCCGCCACGCCCAACATGCGCCCGGCCGTGAGACACAAGTCTTCGTCATCCTCAGGCGGCGGTTCTTGCACTTGCTTCACCGTCTGTCTGCAGTCACTCCAGGCCCTGCACAACGCCTCGTCTCCGCAAGCGCCGCCCTTCGACCTCGTGCTCTCCCTCAACCGCAAGGCTGTGGAGGGATGCGCCGCCATGTTGTCTTGCAACAGATGCATGAGCCGCTCGGGCACTCACACAGCCGCCATGCTCTTGGCCACTGTCATCGGCAAGATCACAAGCTTCTACAGGAATGCCAGCCACACCTACTTTGAGAACGGCATGGTGCCCCAGGTCAACCAGCTGAGCCCCGGGGGCGGCCTAGGTGTAAGCCTCGGTGCGTACACTCTTGGTGGTGAGGATGGTAGGTGGCTCGAGCTCGAGATCCTGAACCGGGAGCTTCGCAAGCTGGAGGAAGTCTACGCGCAGTTCCGCGAGGTCTGCGCCGATCTCTCTGAAGATGCTGAAGTCAGCAAAGCCATGATTGGCTATCTCGGCCACAGCCTCGGCACTACACTCGAGGTCGTCAGCCATCGTAAAGGAGACATGAGCTATGCTTAGTCACACCACAACCAAAAAAAGAAGCGGGAAAACCCCCCCCCCCCCCCTCTCAAAATAAACCAACGGAAAAAGAACACGCCAAAAGGACGTACAAAGATTCTGGGCCGAATTTACATAGAGCGCTGAAGGAAAAAGTGCGCTCTCGACATGACCGATATGAGCATTCACCACTACCGGATTGATTTTTGTTTTATGGAGTACTACCTAGGTAGCTATCTAGGGCCAGGTAGGGGGTTCGGGTCGGGGAGAACACCGGGTAATTGGAAACTCGTTTTTTTTGTATTTTTTATATTGGACTTTACATTGTTCGGCGGCGGCTGAACCTTGTAAACCTGGCGTGCTGGCGAAATCAGAGGTTTTTCTTCATCGGTTTACTTCTTTTTCTCTTCTTTATTTCTCCCGGTTCTTGTCTTGAGACGCACCCCCACACACATACACACACACACACACACTTTGTCAAAGTCACCCACTACGGGAAATCAGCCGGAAGACAGGGATAGAGTTGCTGGATACGGAGGGTAGCGAGAATCGAGCGGGCAGTTCAGAACTGGTTTATTTTTACATTACCCCCTCGTTCAATGGGAAAGCAAAATTATGGCGCAAACCTCTTGGGTCTTGTCCCCCCCCCTTCCGCTTGATTCCATAATCAGCGAGTCATGCAGGGAAGAGAAGAGGGTTGGGTTCATCGGAAGGAGTTTTGGCTGTGTTGTGCCGCTCATCATCGACCGCCTCGACACTTCGGACGAAGGCGAAAGGAGGAGGCAAAGGGCCGAGCCCGAGGATGCCAGGGCCAATGGCAGCTAGGTCTGACGGAGGCGAGAGCGAGAGAGAGAGAGAGAGACAGAGAGGGAGACAGACTGTCGGGTTGTAGTGGCACCTTGTCTACCGAGGAATAACCAATGGATAATGTCATCATCGTGCCTATGCAGGAGGAGCGCACCCTGCAACTCGACTTGTCATAAACATGTCAATTACATGCAGTATCAAACAAAACCTGGGTTCGGAGCTCTGTCGCAGCCTCGATCGTTTGATGTTTCCTGCGTTCAGACCTACCTGGCCGAGGAGAAACACGTCTTTTCTCCCCTTCTCTCTCTCTCTTTCTCTCCATTCCGTCCCTGACTGGTTGTCAGCAGTATCAAGCGCTGGGAAGAAACAACGCCCCTTCCTCCACAAGAAGATTTGAACAAAGAATAAAACACAAATAATAAATCCCACAGTTATGCGAAGATGGAGAATGGGGGGGGGGAGGTTGGGTAACACGAGAAACTTGTTTCTACCACGTGCGATTTTGTCAATGTGGTTGCTTAGCCTCCTGTCGAGGATGTTGCATTAGCCTTGCCGAGTGGGGCTATTCCGGATTACCCCCCCCCCCCCCCCCCCCCCAGCTGACTGTCGGCACTGAGGCCGATGGTCACCCTCCCCTGTCACCGCAGGCGAAAATCCCCCCCCCCATCTCTTTCTCTCTAGTCCTCTCACCTCCCCCTCACCTTGCTAACTAGTAACTAGGCCCTTACTCACCTTGACCGTCCACTCGCTCCCCGTCCAACCCGTGTGCTCATTCGTGTCCAGCGGCTCCTTCCCTCGGAATAGGTTTGCTCTGCGCCTCTTCCTGCGCCTCCTTCCCGTCCCTTCCGCTTCATTGACTCGCACATTGCCTCACGCCTTGCCTCGCGCCTGGGTGTAGCGTCATGTCTCCTGTAGCTTGTGATCTGTGGCTGACGTGACGAGATCTCCCCGCCCTCCTTCCCATGGCACGGACGGTTTGGAGATGTCCGGGGAGGACTTGAAGGCTTTGGGGGGTTTATCCCATACGTGCGCGGCATCCGTTTGATGGTTCGATCCGATGAGGTCAGATCGGAGTTGGGCTATGGATGTTTCTAAATATGCAAGCCAGCGTGAGGGCCCCAGAAGGCCTTGGGCGGGCTACGAAAGCCAGCGCACAAACGGGAACGAGGACTCGGGATGAGAGAATATTCCCCGACGCAGGGTCAACTTTCGACGCTGTGGAAGCCTATCACAGACAAGCCTATCAAGCGTTTTGTTTGAGTCAGCCTAGCTCCAAGGTGAGAGGTCACAATGGTCCCATTGGCGACTCGCGCTTCCGGACAAGAGTCCGGTCCTACCACCGCGAGAGGCGCTGGCATTGCAATGGCGTGTTGGGCCCAATTACAGGCCATTGGTGAGGGTAGAGGGTGCGTGTGAAGGTTGTGTACGCGTATCTCGAGGCGGAGGTCTCGGGCAAATTGCGGTCAACTTGATGTGCTTACCGAGAACCAAGGAGCGGGGAGATCGGAAGATGGGTGCGGATGTAGAGTGGTACGGGCCAAGCTCCGATGTTTGTCATCTCGGGATATACCCGCTGGGTGTTCGGCATGGCAGGCCGGAAAGATGCAAGACAACAGCACGGACGGCGACGATGAGAGTATCTAGTTCTGACCTGCATGGTGTGAGGCAACGGCGCAGTCCACGTACCTGAGGAGGAGTGGTTGGATCTCAAGGTCCAAGCTCTTACGTGCCTCGAAGAGCGTCGTCTGCCATGCAGTATCGAGGGTTATTATTTTTGTCATCCCAGAACGCGGCCTCTCTCTGCAGGATGCTCGGAAGCAAAGGGATCAAAGCGAATACCAGAAGAGGTCAAAGAGGAACAAGGGGAAGTATACTGAACAAGCCTGGATCGGAAGGCATTCCCGAAGTATTACGTGTCTAGAGAGCTCTTACTTCTCTTTGGACCCCACGGAGGCTGTTGGACTAGTATGTCGGATGTCGTCGCGCCGCAGAAACTCTGATAAAAAAGCGGTTTCACCTCGCCGGCTCGGAGATCATGATTCATGCCCCAGAGACTGGTGGATTCGGTAAGACAGAAGATGGTGTTGTTGCTCGAACCAACGTAAGATGGAGCTTGCACTCAAACTGGCGGAGGAGCATGTCGATTGAGAGACCCAGTTCCGAGACGGGGGGCTTTCGTCGCCATCCCAAGAGATCGACATGCATGGAAAGATAATCAAGGGGCAGCGCCGCCAGCAGATACTAGATTGGTCATCCAGGGCCATGAAAGACGGCATCTTCACGTGAAAAATCGTTTGGATGAGATGTGGCGTTCCACGATCATCGGAACGCCTCACAGACATTCGCAGTCTGGGTCGTGAAATGATCTCTGCGGGTGTGAGATGCCAGGGGTCTGGTAGCGAATTGCTTTCGTACAAGGCCAAGACTGGAGCTTGAGAACCAAGCTGCGCCAAAAGAGGCAATATCCTTGGACTTCCTGGAGAAACTGGCGAACGGGTGGTCGTTGCGCTTCAAGCACGTCTTTAATCCAGAGATCCGCCATCTTCAACTGAAACATGATGCCGCGAGCCGCTGCCCCCGGCTGGCCACGCGTTCGTCTCGAGCCTGATAGCCTTCTCCACTTACCAAACGCAGACAGATCAGCATCATGTCGATGCGGAAGTGCTTGTCGATGAAGCAGCTTCCCGCAACCTTCGGCTTGCTTCATATGGAGAGCTCAGGGCGCATGGCCATCGATTGGTCCGTTTCTGAGGTAATTTAACGTCATCCAAGCGCAGGAGGACGTCGACACATGAAAAAGAAAAAACGAAAAAAAAAAAAAAAAAAAAAGCTGAAGCTTGTTACTTTGGTGTCCTGGTCCTGTTTCTGGCCTTTGCTGGGAACCTCCCCGAAAATGTCCAACCCACCGGATGGATGTTGCTTGTGCCAACCAGCATATCCGCTAAGCATCTGATTGAAAAGTCGCAAGTACGGATAGGCCTCCCGAAACATATGGTACGCATCTCCGAGGCACAAGGGGCAGCTGTAGGTAGCACGGGCGTATTCCAAGAGGCGGGGATCATCCGCTGTCTGTCTGACAACGGGCAAGTGCAGCAAGATGCATTTGGGGGGCAAGGACATCCTAACATTGCCTCCCCGAAGCAGGGCCTTGCCTCGGTTACTCGAATCCAAACCTGCTCAGACAGTGCAGGGTCTGACGTCTGTGGAGCCAACGGCTGCGACATTGAGCGTTGGGCAGGAAACACAAGGCATTGTGCGTGCCTGTTTTGCTCGTTGAAATCGGCTTAAATACGAGGCACGGTGTTCCATTCGTCACAGGTGTCGGAAATGGATGACGGACGGCCAGGATATTCCCAAGGGCAACGAACGGGGCAAAGTTGGAAGAGAGCCGTGTAAGGTGATGGCGGTTTGCGCCACCCGCATGCAGCAATAGATTGGTCTGGCCGCCCTGCGTAAGTCGAATCAGCCAGGGTCTACAGTCGATCCGCAAGGACAAATTGCGTGGACGAAGGCAAACGAAGGTGGGGAGGGCGACTGACCGGGGCTCTTGTCGAAGTCGAAGAGGCCCTCACGGAGGGTCTTAGCAAGCGTGGTCGGATAATCCGTACCGGCAGTGGTCAGAATCGATGGGGTAAGAGGTTACGCAGTGGTGTTGCTACTGTTTTGTTTTTCTGTCGATGACGATGATTAGGAGACTTGGAGATACAAAGCGATAGCTGAAGGGCCGACGTTGAGCGCCTCACGGCCGGGATACCCGAAGGGGCTTAGTCATACGCGAACGGCATTACCTGGCTAGTACCGGTAGTACTAGGCACCCATGTGCCTTGAGCAGGTAAGCGCCCCCCCCCCCCCCCCCCCCTCTTTCCTCCTATGCTTAAACTGTCGACGAGTGGGAACCTCACGATGGAGGGAGGTGAAGTGACACCAAAGTCGTCCATCCCGCACCACCCTCAGCACCTCAGTCTCTCTCAGTCTTACCCTCCTTCGTATCTTCGCTATCAGCCCTCACTTGGACCTGGACCGACCGGGGCACGCTTATCGCCCTACGGGCACATCCGATTCGACTCGGCTGACACCATCATCTCACTGCCTTGAGTCGGGGAATTGGAATGTCTTCTGCAGTCAGCTGGCTTCTGCTTCATCCCCCCGAACCCTCACGAATTGGGAGCCGTCCGAGAAGCCGCGTCGGCACATCACCGCACCCGCCACCAGGGTCAACAAGAACCTGTCGGCCACACAACCTCCAGATGCAAACCTCGGACTGCATCCTATCAAGTGCGGATGGTTTGCACTTGGCTGGTACACACCAGCTGTTTTGGCCGCCGTCTCTCGACGCGCAACTGCTCTTAATCCTGGGGCAATCACGCCCCCCCCCCCCCCCCCCCCTTGGAGAATGCGATGATGGCGGTCTCGCAGTTCTGCATGTGAGAGGTGCCAAGTGGCCTGCATCACAACCAGCCCTCCATATTGTGAGCGGTCGGTCCCGACCCAGCCCACTCCACCCCGCGACAAAGAAACACTTGCAAGATCGGCAATCAGCAAGCTGGCGTGGGGCAAGGTTCCCCATGTTGTCGTCTCGGCCTGTCGAAGGCCATTATTGCCATGCCCAAAATGCTACCGGTATATGAGAACCTTGTATGGGTCTGTGGCTCTGTCTACTTTCTCCTCCCAACGGGGTGTATCGGGCAAGTAGGGTTCGTGGACGGCGCTTGTGTAACCTCGCGTGTCTTATCATCACTTGGGCTGGTCTCAGATTGTGTCTTTTCCCCTCCTGATAATGCGTTGTTTTTGCTTTGGTATCCGCAACTGCGCATTGCTTACTCGCCGCCCTCCGACTTTTTCGCACGCCGCATGATGGCATCTACGGCAGCGAAGCTGATCTGTATCTCTCTCAACGACTCCCATCCATTCGGTCGCAGCCAATCATGATACCACTCATCACACCACCTCATCGTCCCGCCCCAAAAGAGGCTCTGCATCCAATACTGGCTTTGTGGCTTTCTTCAGCCAGGAGTAGCCCGGCTCAAACACGCGGCATCATTGGCTCTGAGGTTTCTGCTGAACCATCAGCCACGACATGATGTTCACCGAGGCCTGCTTCCTACCAGCTGAAGTCAGCCAGGTGAGAGGGCCACGTCTTTGCTCCGCCCAGAACGTGCCCGAACTGCCCGAGACTTTTGGCAATCAGCCTTGGCTATTGATCCTGTTGACGGGGTTGATACAGCGTGATGATGCTGACGAGATACTTCTGGTTTGTCCGATTCGAGATGCCGATGCAAGTCCTTCTGCCATCGACGTTTTCCTTGTTCTCTGGCACCTCTACTTGCCTTGTAGTGACGTTTCTCTCCCAACACAACACTTTCCATCGTCCTCTGCACCCGCAAGCAGCCTACGGATGACCTGTCGCTTCTTGGCATCGTCCCACTACTTCTCTTGGCCGAGATGGTCTGGCTTTGTACGGTCTAGCGTCTCAGTTGTTTACCCAAGTTCGTGGATACCAGGCCGGCTTGTTACGTAACGGGAACCTCCTTGGACACTGCTTATGCAGCTCCATGACTGAAGCAGCGACTTTGCTGGCACTCCGTCCATAATGGCATGACTGGAAAGAAAATATCATAGGTGACGCCATTTGATCTCTTCGTAACCATCAATGGCCTTGCTATACATTGCTAGTCATCTTTTTCAGTTCATATCTTGCGGCATCTTACACCAGACCAGGGGCATTTGGGAGGCGGTACGCATGCATGTCAGAGTATCATGGCATTAGCAGATGGCGATGCGTCTAGGCCCACGTCACGACGAAGAAGCCGGGGCAGGCAACCAGATATCCGCCTGGTTGACGGCATTGGGCGTGAATCTCAGTCGGTGTTAGCTCCTAAAGGCCAGCAGCTCTGGGGATAACAATCGCTTGCCGATGGTCAATTTGACCACCCATCGGCGAAAAGAACTTTAATGAAAAAAAACCGGTACAACCAAAGTGTGTAAGACCGCCGGCGAATAGGACAGAAACGGCACTGCGTGCTGGCGCAACGATGCCACCTCGTACAAGGCTGACAAGGAGCACTGCCCTTGCCCCTGCCCTCCTCGCCGGTTGCGATGTCGGGTCCATGTTGCAAGCGGCGATCGCAACAACCTGTCATCGTGTGAGCAGGCAAATATACAGAAGTTGCGTATTCGACAAAACGAGACACAACAGGCTGAGCAGGGCTGACCCACGGCCATCGCTTCTTTACTGATTTCCCCAACCTCGTGCCAAAGGAAGCCGCGTTCATGTCCCTGCGCTGTTCCCGCTCCAAAAGTAACCGACCAGGGTTCGTGGCACTTTAGCTTTTCCTAAATTGGCACCATCATGGTGCGGGTAGATACACGTGTATTTTTGTGTTGTACCTATGCTGGGCCGTTATGGAGGTGTGGGTCACGACATCGGTTGAGATCCACTCGGGCGGCGGTGCGGTGCGGCACCCACTCTTACCGGGCTCCAGGAAAACAGGACAGAATCGGAGATTGCTCCGCCCCCGATCGTCGATCCTCATTCGGCAGAATCCGAACCTGGGCCGGAAGGCAGAATGCGGAGGCGCTGCTGCTCCTATTGCATCTTGTACCTACCTACCTACCTTCTGTCACTTTGAGCCGTATCCTAATCTAATGCGAGGGTGTCCCACGACGGCCGCGTCGGTCGGATTAGAGTCTTTGGGAGGAGGGCTCAGGAGTCCGAATTCCTTTCCTTAGTGCCGGCGTACCGTCAGCTTGGGAAATATGGTACGAGTCTGACGGGCCAGATCCGCCGTTGCGCGGCGCCCACGGCCTCCCATAGGCTCCTAAAGCACGGCAACCACGCCTCCTGGTACGATGCCGCCGGGTCGGTGTAAGCGCCGGCGGAGTTTTTTTTTTAGTGTTTCAATTTTTTTTCTATTCTACATTTTTTCCAGGCTTCCATTCATGCCGCCTCGTCAGCAGAGTGAAACTCAGCTATCGCACGCTGCACTGCCGGCTCCTTCGCAAATCTAACGTTCCGAGTACCCGTCCCGTTTTCTCTTTTCCTGTCGTCAGTACGATTTTGGGGCATCCCGGGGGAGGGGGCTGGCTGGGGTTGGATTTTAACCTGCGTCCTACGGGAACGATGGGACATACCGGTAGGCCCGCGAAGCTGGTGATCGACCCATTTGTTTTTTTTACTTTTTTTCTATAAAAAAATTTCTTCACGTTTGGAGATGATTACGGTGTCGTCGTATCTGGCTTCGTGGGCTGAACCGCCGCTGTGCGCGGAACGTGCCCGCTCTCCCCAGCCGCAGCAGACTCGGCCGTTTCCCACAAACATCACGACGGAACCCCGCCAGACCTCGCAAAGGTTGCCGCCGGCCCCTTGCCTTGGCGCGCGGAGAGAGGGAGCAGAGTCGGGTCGGGTTTTTTTTTTCTTTTTCTTTTGCGAGTCTCACCGCATACATACACATGGATTACGAAGCATTCGAGACTTTTGCCGATCACCAAAAGGCGGAGGAGATCTCGAGCGGTCTGCCCCCCCCTCCCCCTGCCCCCCTTTTTTAATACCATTTTAACCTCTTGTATTTGTATGGCTGTGCTAACAACTGGACTTGGACCGGCGTGAGACGGGAACGGGAGCGGGCGCGCACGCCATGGAGCAGGTGAGAAAATCGAGAGGGGGGGGGGGGGGGGGGGTCCTAATGCAAACCCACCGCCACAGCCGCCTACGCGCGTATGTGTGTTGCGTGTTTGGCGTCCTCCTAGTTCTAGACCGTTGTGTTGGCAACCCTCCCACATATTCAAGTCTGACAACGTTTGGCCATGGGGCTTGGCTCGGCCATTTCTCGCCGTTTTTGGAGAGTTCCGTTATCAGGTCTCACCGCGGCTAGACGCTCTTGAGGCACATTGCCGCTCGCTGCGGGATTTACTTGTTTAGTGGTAACGTGAAGTGCGATGTCAAGCCGACTGATTGTGGACTATGGTCAGGTCAAGCAAGGACAAGAATAAACCACGTCGTTTCACTTATCGTCGAGGGTGCGGAGATGCGAACGAGTTTCCCAGTAAAGGTTTCTTCATTCATGATGTCTACATAGGCCTTTCCAAGATGTGTTTGTTATGTAAGTTTCCATCATCTCATGCCCCCATATTACCAACCAGACCCAGACCCGGGGATCGCAAGCGTCCGGCCCGCCTTGCGATCCGATGCATTAAGGCGTCATGATAGCAACCCCTTACGAATGAGGCTGCGGACGAGTTGAACATTGCTGCACTTATGTGCCACCACCGGTGACCTTGATGACCTGACCTATTAGGGGAGTTAGCGAGCAGACACTGCAAAATAGCCTTCAGTGGACGACAGCTTACCGTTGATCCACTCGCAGTCAGGGTGGCAGAGAGAGGCGACGACCTTGCCGACATCGGCAGGAACACCGACGCGCTTGAGGGGGTTCAGGTTGGCGAGGCCCTGGTCGATGATCTCCATGGGCATGCCCTTGTAGCCGTTGGGGACGTAGTGCCACGCGTTCTCGTCGAACATGTCTGTCTTGACACCGCCGGGGGCGATGGCGTTGACAGTGACGCCCTTGGCGCCGCAGTCGACGGCGAAGGCGCGGGTGAAGCCCTCGACGGCGGCCTTGGAGCCGGCGTACAGGGCGTGGTTGGGGATACCGCCCATCTGGGCAGCGATGGAGGACGTCAGGATGATGCGGCCGCCACGAGAGCAGTGCTTCAGGCCCTGCTGGGCGACGAAGAACTGGCCACGGGTGTTGAGGTCGAAGATGTTCTGGAAGAGCTCTTCGGTGACCTCCTCCTCGGGGCACCAAACCTCCTTGCCCGAGTTGGAGATGACGTAGTCCATGCGGCCGAAGTGGGCAACGGCGCGGTCGAAGAGGTCGACAACCTCGGCAGGCTTGCTGATGTCGGCCTTGTAGGCGACAGCCTTGGCGCCGAGCTTCTGGATCTCGGCGACGACCTCCTCGGCAGCTTTGGCGGACGAGGCGTAGTTGACAACGACGTTGGCGCCGCGCCTGCCGAGCTCGATGGCGATGCCACGGCCGATACCACGGCCGGAGCCGGTGATGAGGGCGACCTTGCCGACGAAGGGGCGGGCCGCGTCGTACCCAGCGGACTGCTGGGCAGCGGCGCTATCAGTCGCTGCGGGAGCCATAGTGAAGGGACTGTGGCTGAGAGAGTGGAAGAGGTGAGTGAGGTGAGGATGAGGGGAAGAGATGGTCTAGCATGGGCGGTTGAGACGAGGAAGTTATATACGGATTGGTTGGCATCGTTCAGTCGACGCTTTGTATGGGCAAAAGGCGAAGCTCCGAACGCATGTCCGCCCGGTTGCCCGCCGCCGCACCTCCGCCGAGTAGCGAGGCGCCTTGCATTTGGGGGTGGATTGAGCTAGGATCCGGGTCCGGGGGTGCCATTGAGGAGAGCAGGATGTGGCACTAGGAAACAAACGGGAATGGAGGAGGCCCACGCATGGGCGCCCCCGTGCGCTTCTTGCCAAAGGACTGCAAAGGATGGTGAGTCCGTCGTATCCAGATCAGACGCCACAGAGGGAGGGAGGTTTAGCCAGGCTTGGGTAGCAAAACACTCGACATTGTGCCTTTGTCAGTCGTGCGAGGCAACGATTTCGCGAACCTGACGTTGTGGATGATCAAACGACGCCTGGATCACACTCGTTTTTTTTTTTCTTCATTTCTTTATGGGATGCTCTGTATTGGTCCTTAACGATTGATTTGGGCAGGAAAAGGCCGCCGAAGACGCCTGATTCCGGGTGAAACTGTTCCCCGGAGTCGATCGCCGGAGGTTTGGAGACATAGGTCTGCCACAGGTGGAAGAGGGGAGGATGGCGTCGTGGAGATCTGCCCCCAAATCATCTATCAGCTGCAAGCCATGTTCGACATGAGTTCTGTTCTGGGTGTTTGTTTTCTTTGTTCGTCCTCTAGTTCCTGCATAGTCTTGACTCGTTCTCTTGTTGCCATAGCACTCGCACGTATGGTAGGCCAATCGACTGAGCCAGAATAGTAGCGATGCGGCGACTAGGCTGACGGTAGCGTTGTGGCCGAGTCCAGTCAGCAGAGCATATCAATGCCAGGGCAGTCGCGTGGCGCCAGGAACCGGTGCTCGAACCCCGGCGCCGCCTTGGATGGATCACACGCCCCCACCCCCAACGGAGGTCCGGCCATTCAAATCAAGTCGGGGTCCATCTGGTCCCCTTCTGCTTCCCTCGGCGCACTCTCATGCTGGAAGCGATTGTCCGTGAGACTGGATGTGGTTCTGGAAAAGGCGGCCGATCTTCGGTCGCGTCAAGGGCCATAAACGCGAAGTCCCGAGTATTTGTCGAGAAAGACCGCCGGCTTGGCGTGGTTACTGGGAGAGGAGAGCAGCAGTCAAAGAAGGAATTCTGCCAAGGAGTCTACCTACCTAAACTGGCAGGTGGACGATGAGTCAGCAATCCAGAGATCGTGACGGAAAGCAATAACTGTTTATCCGGAACGGGTACTGGGAATCCGGGGAAGGGACCACCCATAGGCGTCGAATAGCGTCAGTGTCAACCATGCTGGGCCGGGGCAGGGTTGGCATTTGCCCGCTCGTCGCGCATGATGCGTACCCGACATTTGGCGATATACTCGATCAAAGCTGACTGCTTGTGGTAACGGAAGCCTGCTTCGACTTGCTGCAATGTGCAGCGAAGGTCCAAGGCTGCGGGCGAATCACGCAAGTTGCCATTCGGCTCTGAACTGGCGGCTGAGGTTCTCCTCCATCATTCCAAACGCTGGTGAGCAATTCACATGGGGATTTCCCTATAATGACACTGCGGCCACATCAATTGACCCGCTATCTGGTATTCACTCTTGTTCGCCGTTAGCTCTCTCTGTGCACCTTGAAGTTTTCCGCCGATTCCTACGTAACAGCAACGGTCACGGGACAAACGACTCGCGGCATCCAGAAACCCCTCCATCATAGGTACCTAAAGCAAGATCAACCTGCTTCTGAACACTCTGCATGCATCGGAGAGATAGGCACAATGAAACTGCCCTTCATTTTCCCGGCTCGCCTACAACGAAAAGATTTGTGCCTCAGGTCACAAACCTGCAACCACCAATAGTACGTTGTGTGTACTCATCCGCTTCAAATATCATTCGCGTCGCGTCTTCGGCATGTCACATTCTCCAGCTTTCAAAGACGATGAAAGCCGAACACAGCGACTAGCGGCTCTGGAAAAGCGAGGCGCGAGACTGTCGTGCCGTCCTCATCACCTAGCACAGTACACTGGGCCCGGACGCTAGTGTTCCTCGAGCGCACCGGCCCGATGACCCGCGGATGCAGGCTCGAATCTGATCAACACGCGACATGCGATCGCCCGTAGTTTCGGGACAGCCGTAGGTCTAGAATCTGCCTCTGTGCAGTCCAAGGTCCCGTGCCTTCGGCTTCAGATGTCTAAAGGTCTGGATGGTTCACCAAGCGCAGCCGCGGCCCGCGTGTTCAATGGCCTCAACTGACGTTTGCCAGCCCGGGTGTTGGGGTCTAAACCGACACATGAGCAGAGGATACTGGCTTCAGCCAATGTGGCCCGAGGCATTAAATCGCTGCTAGACATTGGCTACAATTGGCTGCTGACAGCCGCCCAGCAGATATACCAGATCAGATGCGTCTTGGAGAGCGAGGTGATGTTTGTCATCGGTCAGACAAAGTCGTCAATGCCTCGGCCAGGAAGAACATTACACGTCATGGCGTTCGCTGCCAGAGATGGATCTGCGATGAATCGCAAACAAACCGGTTCGCTTTGAAGGTGCACTGCAACAGTTTCTAAAGCCTGCCGAATAAGGAAACGTTGAGAACTCTCTCTTTGCACGCACCAACCGTACCGCCATATCGGTGACGAAACATGTGCTGAGCAGCCCATAGATGGTTCCGATGGTCATATCACACGAAACTATAACCGAACGACCCAAGTCACTTTCCCTCAACGTTTCTGGCAGAACATGTCCCACACCTTGCACATCGGTCCGATTATCTGCCAAGGCAGCGGTCGCTGTCAGCACTCGGTGGGGGACGCGGTCGTTTGGCAGTCCTGGGCCGCTGTGTGGTTTCGGTTGGTACATAATGGCCAAGTTCGCTACCGGAGGGCATTCGCAGGTCTTGGCTGCATGCTAGACCAAGTAGCCAACAGAGGTGGCATGGCGAACCCACCATGTGCTCAGCAGACACTGCTCAAAGCACGGCCTATCGCTGCTTTCGTCACTTGCTGCCAAGATCATATTCGGCTACACAAAGCGACATCGCACGAACCGCTCGCAATCGCGAAAGTCCCAAGGCTCTTGCCCGTTGCTTCCGGCGTGTAAGTCTGTTGGATAGAGGACACCGAGCTACGAACACGCCTCGGGGAGCCAACATGCGTCCCACATCTTGTCATGCCTGAAAGGTGCAACAGGGCCGTTCGCCTCGTACGCCCCCACCACCTCGGCGTGGGAGTTCTTGGCAATTTACCGTCCCCGACGAGGAGACGGAGGCGAGGATTTTCCCAGAGCGCCGTCCATTTACTCATTTACTGGTAATCATGACATCGGTTGCTCCTCACAGATCGGCAAGGCGCGGGCCCCGGTTGATCACACCCTCCCGGCGACTCCTGTGTACGGATCTGTAAAGCCAAACGCACACTGCTTTCGAAAGCTTGGGATGAGGTTTTCGTTTGTTTTGACACAGCTTCCAAACTAACACAAAGAGGGACGGGGAGTACCTCCCCCCTCCCATCTCCCAGATCCCGCTCCTCCCGCCCCTCCCGCTCCTCCCACAAACGGTCACACCACCCAATCAGCGGAACTTTGAAGCCCGTGTTAGATTCCGCCTCCATGGATCAAGGGCTCAGAGGGGTGCTCCGTAACAGGGGACCGGGTTTCTGGGCCGATCTCCTTCGACGAAGCCAAACCCGACTGACAAAGTCATCCCCCCATCGCGCGTTGACACCAAAAGAGGACTGTCAAAACACGCAGTGTCTGTCAAGGAAAATTTAAAATAAAAATAAAACCCTATTCTGCGCAACGGCGGATAGGATGACCCGGCTTTCTGCTCGGCAGTTGACTGGAGCCTGTGTCAGCGTATCTCTCGGCGAGACCATGCGAACGGCTCAACCCAGTGACTGATTGTGGAACCATCTCAAAACTCAATGGCAAACACGAATACGTTCCGCTCTGCTCCTCTGGATTCGAATTCGGATCTGTATTATTTCTGGCGAAACACCACGGACACGTGAGCCTCTCGTTATCTTGGCCCATCCCGCTGTATCCCCCGCTCCCTTCGGAGCGGCCTCGGGGATTCCGACAAGTACCTCCCTCTCCACCGTCCCGTCGCATGCGTCGTGCGACCAAGACGCTTCCCTCGGCGTTGGGTTGCATGCCCGGGTGACACGGCGTATCGCGGGGCCTGCGTCCGGCTGTGCGACCAGAGACGCGCCCCGTCTTCCTTCTAGACCACCTCTGCCCCCCCCCCCCCCCCCCCTTCCCCCTCCCGCGCTCTCCGAAGCCATGGACAACTGCCCCGCCGGGTCGGTCGCTGTCGAGGCGAAGAGTTCCGAACCTTGAAAAAGGCTTCTAGCACCCTGCACGTTTCTCGAGGAAACGGCCCGGGGAGGGCGCCACCATGAACCGTCTCGCTGCACTGACACCGGGCAGCGTCACAACGCATACCCAGACGGCGGTACCGACCAATGACTGGTCCTGTGACGGAGAAAGCCAATGTGACTCCCACCGGCCCCTCTGGTCTTTTTGTATGATGTGCGTTGTGGTTTACTCCCCGCCCGCGTTTTAAGCTCCAGATTCCAATCGCGACTGCCCTTTCCACCACCCGTATCGATGGTAGAGATGATCGAGACGATTGATAGATGAGCACGAGGACGGATGACTGGGTAACCCTTGCCGCGGCACCCATGTTTCAGGCACAGAGAGGGGGGAGGGTCCCAACCTTCGCGCGACCGACTGTTTCCGGGTTCGTTCATCGTGATGACGGGGCTGCTGAGCCAGCCCATATACTCAGCATCGATTCCTATCGCCGATGCCAGCGCGTGTGTAACGGTGGTGTGTGTGTGTGTGTCTGTCAGACCTCGCAAGTTTCGCGGCTGTCCATTTCCGTCCGGTGTCTTGCTTACTTTGGCCGCTCCGCTGGGTCGTACGTGTGCCTAAGCAGACCTGGCTCAACGCTGGCCCCCTCCTCGGGAATACTGGGCAGCCCAGGAGGAGGGTTATCCCAGGGTATCCTTCTTTCCCATCCTTTCCTCGGGAGTAGCTTCTGTATTCGTGCCTGCCGGGTACTGCAACAAGGTCTGACATTCAGATGGTTTCTCACACGAAAGAGACGCAGGTTTATGGCAACCCCCCCTCCTCCTCCTCCTCCTTCATCCCTTCCTCTAGGGATCACTTGCGACTTGGTATCCTAATCTAGACGTTTTCACGTGCACTGTAGTCGCTTTTGGCGAACTGTCCCCCCCCCCTCGTCGCCAACGTACCATGTGATGACACCGTCCCACCCACAAGAGCAGAAGAGACATGAGCCCAATGTTGCTTATTGGTGTTGATCAAGGCCTGCCTTGCAGTCTAGGCCGTTGGGTTTTTCCCCAGTGTTTGGCATCGACCAAAGCAGAAAGCACCAAAAAGCGCACAGCCGCTTTTTCTAGGATCAAGTCAAAAGCTTGTGGATATTGGCAAATGCCTCTGAGGGTTGAGTATTTTGCTGCATAGGAACTATGGCCCTTTGCCTTGTCATGACACAGTGACACCAGGTATCTGATACACAAATCTAATAGACTAAAAGAGAGAGAGAGAGAGAGAGAGGAAAAGTATTGGAATGGAAACCCCCTCGCTGCCATGCTTGCAATAAGAAGAAAACGCCGCTACCATTGTGGCGGCCAAGGGCTTGCTTGAGCAGAGGCACCTCGCCGGTTCATGTGTTTCTCCCCCCCCCCCAGAGATGCGACCACGGGTGTCATGACTCGTAAACGCCAAATAAAGATACCCAGAAGATTGTACAAGACCCAAATGCTATCCAAGGAAAAAGGTATTGATAAGAGTCATATATGCGAATCGTATAAGAACATGAACAAGAAGAGAAGCATGTTTTTCGTAGTTGCCGTGATTAAAAGAGTGTATGTGGACGACCAAAGCCTTAGGCAGTGGCGGCAGCCAAGCCGTCAACGTTCCAGTTGTTGTTGAGGGTGATGAGTTTGCGTCTGATGCCGTCGCCGACGCGGCAGGTAACGCCCTCTTCAATGGCCATGATGCCGTAATTGATGACATCGGCGGGTTTGTCCAAGCCCAACGTGGTACCGTCGCGGCGGGTTAGCACGGGGAGACCGTCACCTCCGCTCCAAAGGTAGGAAATCACAGCCGGGTCCTCGGGTGTGACCTGGTCGATGGCGACGATGTTGCCGCTGCCATGTTGTCCGCTTGTGGCGGCGTTGGAGGCGCCGGCGCCGCTGAGGTGCTCGGGGCTCGAGCTCCGGTGTTGTGATGCGGGCGAGGAAGTCTGCTGTGCCTGTGCCTTTTGAAAGTTGGGGTCGAGACGTCCGACACTGTCGGCCCAGATGATGAGGGTGGCGCGGTAGACACCGGCAGGCCACCAGCACGGGCGGCGGTCGGCGGGCATGGAGCGCAGAAGGCGCATCACCTGGCCCGAGTGGAAGATTGCCTCCTCGCGGTTGTAGATGCAGCGCTTGTGGCGCAGGCTCAACTCCCAGTACGAGCCGTCGAAGCCGTCGCGGCGAGCGAGGCGCTCGATCTCGGGAAAGTTGGTGACGGCGTTGAGAGAAATGAGGTGGTAGAGGACCAAGTTGCAGCGCGTCGTCGTGCAGTTGGGGTTGCTCCTGTGGAACGACATAGTGAGCTCATACCACTTCTGGAGAAGGGCCTGGACCTCTTCGAGGCGAAGCATGGTGCTCGACTTTGTGATGGTCCTGGAGGTCGCGCGCCTGGTGGAGAGGACGTCCGAGAAACAGGAAAGCATCTGTCTCAAGTGGCAGAGAAGAGATTGCAAAGGGTGGAGGAGAAGGCGAAGCTGCTGAGGAGAGAGGCCAGCTTGACGACGAGAGAGGTTGTCATGGAGGAAGTCTTGGAAGAGCTCGCAGAGGGAAGGAGTGAGGGAAGGGCTAGAAAGCAGCTGCGGGTTGACGTTGGCAGTACATCCGTAGAGGCTCTGGGCGCTGGCAAACCACTGCTCCGAGTTCGATGCCAGCCAGAGTCCCTCAGGGCTGGGGAGAGGACATTGCAGATCGGTGATGGCCAGTTGAGGGGGGGTGTCGTGGAACAAGCTGAGCTCTTGGTCGCACATGACCCAGTTGTAGACGAGCCTATTCTGCATCTCGCGGTGCAACCAAGCGCGCCATTGCAGTTCGTTGCTCGTTGTGCCGTTCAAGGTCGGGATCATTGACGGTTGAGGCTCCAACATGCCGGCATGTTTCAGCATCTGTTTCCCGTTAGTGAGATTCTTGATGAGAGGTAGGGACCGAAAATAGTGACTGCTTACCGACAGGTACATTCCCCTTTGTCCCATGGCAATATCCATCAGCCACTTGTCGCCACTCCAGGCACCTTGTAATGTGAACAGCAACGCGCACCGCAAGGCTACCGGGTCAGCCGACAACTCGACATCCTTCTCAATGATGTCAAAGAGCGAGATGCGGCACGTCTCGGTCAGGCCGGCGGCCAGGTACCGAGCCTCTGCCATGGGCACGGCGGAGGCGCCCTGCGCGATCATCAACAAAAGCAGCAGGGTCGAGGCCTGGTTGTTGAGGAGCATCTCGTTGGGGTCGACACACCCAGCGACGACGAGGGGGTAGTAGTTCTGCAAGCTGCGAACGTAGCTGCGGAGGAAATACTCGAGGATCTTGGTGGGAGGAAGAACGATAAAGTTGAACTCGCTGGGGGTGGCATAGCCAGTCTTGGAATACCCGTTGTTCAATCCGCTCCTGTGAATGCGCAGCGCCTTTTGCAGGAACGACTGCGTGATGGCCAGCATCCGATCGCGGGTGCGCGAGGTGAGGGGGACCACGGAAGCATCCGTCGTGTCCCAGTCGACATTCTCCAGGTATTTCTCCAGAGAACTCCAGGTACCATCTTCCTTGGACTTCCTTTCCAGGCACTCCAGGTGGACAATCGCCGTCCTTGGGCAGGTGCCCGAGTAGATTGGCGGGTTGCAGCGGGCGAGTGGCCACGAGTCTTCGGCGGCAATGACAACCTCAAACTCTGGGATTGTTGACTCCCTCGGCATACCCAGGGCCGGCTCTGTTGGCTTCATCGTGGCATCGAACTCGGCAGAGGACATTATGCTGGTGCTTCGGGTGTGGATCGATCCGCGAGATGAAGAGGCAGTCATGGGCTCTGACGCGGAGCTCGATGACATGTCGCTCAGCTCCGGGAAAGTGGGTATCGACATATCCGGGCGCGACATGGGCAACTGTCCGGAGTACATGTCAAGCTCGATGGGGTATTCGGGCCAGACCATCATATCCTGGTAGTTTGTATCGGGCGTGATGAAGTCGCTGTTGAGCTGCATGAACTCGTCGAGCCCGTCGACCCGGCTGTGGGGTGATGGGAAATCGTCTGAGCTGCGGTGGGACTGTGTCGGGGAGCTCTTCTTCATCGGCGCCTCCATCATACGGGGGTCCATCGTTGCAATGGGCGACCCCGCCGACACCTTGCCCGGAGACTCCTGCTTGGGCAAGGACGGGTCGAGGTCCATGAAGGTCACGGGCTGAGCTGGTTGAGGTGGTTGTGGTACGGTGGCCATCATCTGTTGTTGGAAGGCAGCGCTGGCTTGTGCAGCCCTGACAGCGGCCTTGGACGATCTCCGCGCAAACCTGGCAGCACAAGGGATGTTCTTCTCTGCACAACGCGAGCAGGGCACTCTCTTGTCGCAGCCGGTCTTTGCGTTTGCGCAATTTTGGCAAGCTATAGGTGTGCGGCCAGCCACTGTTGGTACACCCCCGGGCAGGGGCTCCATGGGGTCTCTTGCTTCATGGTATGTCGAATGATGTCTTTGGAGGAGATCTCTGTTGAAGTGTGAGTAAACAAAGCTCGTGGGATTCGACGCAGGATATGACTGACCGTCTGGCGAAGGAAAGCTGGCAAGCACTGCAGCGATGAGGCTTGACATTGGTGTCTGTGTCCATCGAGTCAGTATGGCCGAATCTCAGTCCAAGCTCTTGACGTGGGGAACATACGGCTAGGAATATGCCTTTCCAGGTGTTCCTTCCTGGTGAAGGACTTCCCACAGTATGCACAGAAGACCATCGTGGCGGTCTGATTCGGACAGTCGCAACGAAGTGAATGGTGGACTGATTGCCTAAGCGGGCGCTATCATCAAGACGCGAGCAGGCTTTGTGACTTGTCAGGCGACGCAGCCGTAGAGGTGAACAGCAGACTCGGTGCGTTGATTTGTCTTCGAGTTGGGAGGAGTAAGTTGCGGTGTATGCGTGGTGCCTGTCCGGGGCAGTGTGTCGAGCGGCAGGATGTGAGAGTTTGGGTTTGTTTTATCAAGGAGTGAAAGGGAGTGAGATGAACTGAGGAGAGGGCTGCCGCAGAATAAAAAGGGCTCGGTGGGAAGGTCGAAGGAGTAGTAGGGTTTTAACGAGGCAGTGCGTGCAGGCGACGTTGGTAATCAGAGTTATGGAGGAACTTGCATCCAAGAATGTCGGTGGCCACGGTGAAACGTGAAGATGAAAGAGTAGAGAGGGGAAAACAGCTACTCCAGGATTTTGTAGGAAACAAGTAGAGTGGGTGGATGGCTTTGAACTATATCACGGAAGCCAAGTCGAGAAGTGAAGGAATAATGTATGATGGACCAGGGCCGTGTGCAACGGGCAAGGGTTGCATGGGACCCGTCAGCTCGGCGAATACGGAAGCGGTCTGGGCAAGGTCAGCGTCTTCCCAGAAGAGCGGGAATAGCTTGGATGGTCAGGGTATGCAATGATTAGTGTGGGTGACGGACAATGGCATCTGGAGTGGCCGAGGCGGTGCCTGCTTCAGGACGAAAAGCAGAGTGAGTGCGCACAGTCGTCGAACGCAAGACACTGGAGCACATGGAGATGTGCAACATGGATCTTTGGGCAAGGGCGAGAGACTACTGGGTGGCCCGGCATTGACTCTGGGAGGGGGGGCTAGTAGACTGTATCAGGCGCTGGCACGTATGAGGAAGAGGGAGAAGCGGCGCCGACGTGTGTTCAGCCGCGATGGAACTGGTCTTGGAAGCATGGCTGAAGATAGAAATGATGAGAGTGGACACTGCAGGTCAACGGGTCTGTGGCCGGCGCAGGCAGGACTCCTTGGGTCAGGCTGGGCACGGCAGAAACAGTTGGACAGAGAGGCACGCAAGGTACTGAGCTGTGCATAACGGGATACCGTAGTGTGTGCTATGGGATCAGGAGGGATCTGTGTAAGTCTATGTACCCGCCCACGCCGCTTGGTGCATATTGTCGACAACTTTTCGTATTGCGTACTTTTGGACCTTTGCACTAGCTAATGTCCAAACAGCCTAACGGCCAAGGCCGACTGGGGAACGGCGCGAGGTACCAGAGTGGCGCGTTCCTGCTGATTAACCCAGTCGAGTAAGCTCCATGCTTGACAGGGGCCGCGGCGCCGTGGCTGCGGCGACGGGGATAGAAAGGACGGAGACTCACTAGAGGAGGGGAGGGGAGGGGAGGGAAGGGAGCGCCGACGATACGGCATGCTGAGTCGCGGGGGTGGTGGAGGGGGGGGGTAAGGGAAGGGGAGGGGGGGGGGGGGGGGGGGGGGGGGGGGGGGGGTGAGGGATCAAACAGATGTGCGAAGGAAGCCAAAGGTACACATGAGAATTAAGACGATCACCCAAGGGCTTGGTGCTTTGCGGATGGAATCTGCTGCGAAAGACAGAATCCACAGGTAGAGACAGGACGGGACACGGATTGAGGGAAAACTGCAACTGCCGAGCGAGCATGAATGTTCTGCGATGTGTTAGAGGACGCCAAAAAAAGAAGGAGAGAGAGAGAGAGAGAGAGAGAGACAACAGATGATGGAGAGACAGTGTCAGAGAAGGTTAATGAGGCGTATGTATGTATGGATGTGTGTGGAGATACGATCGATGGCGGCCAGACGAGTACGAAAAGATCAAAACGGAAGGCAAGGAACATCGACAGTGATTGACACATGGGCCACAACAGCCAGAAGGTGAGAGCAAGAGAGAGAGAGTGTGTGTGTGTCGCTGCCCAGGCCTAACCAAGAATGGAATTGCCATGGTACGGAAACAACAGTGCTGGCCCAGGATATCTCTGTTTATTGCGGGTTGCCGGGTTTCATGGCACGGATCAGATCGGCAGAGGGCGAGAGACCATTGGCGCATGCCATCTGTTTCTGGCTCTGCCTCGAGTACGGATACCTAGCCTGGGCCAACTGGCCCCATCATGTTCGCATCCAGGCAAAGTGTACTCGATAAACTCCCGAGAAGAGTAGGAGACAGACGTGTGCCGTCACGGTTCGCGTAGGAGACCAGGCTCGGCCTGCGTGTCTCCGATTCGAGGTATAAGCGGGATACCTTGCCCTGCGCGTTACGAGTTGCGTTCCGTTGCCTTACCTCGCCATGAGGTACTTGTACCTTGCCTCAGTCCCACCCGCGGGAACGGCGCCGCAGTTTCCCAAAACGGACATTTGACAGCACTACTGAGTAAAATAGAAAGAAGTGTGTTTTGTCAAGCCTTGGCCGTCAGTCGAAGCCGATCTGCGCCGAGCTTCCCAGCGCCTCGCATACGCTCTGTTCTGGTTGTCGAGGATGCGCAGAAGGAAGCGAAATCAGACGCAGATGCAGATAGGCCAGCGCTGGCGCTGGCGCGGGCGCGGGCGCGGGCGAGGACGAGGACGAGGACGCAGGCGCAGGCGCAGGCGCACGCCTCTGCTCCAGAAAGCATCAGACTCTGGCCTCGGCTCGAGCAATACAGCGGGAAACCTGCGTGCAAGAATGCAATTACGCGGTAGCTGGATATCGGTCTTGAGGCGAAAGGCCAGGGCTGCGGAGCTCTTAGGCCCGACTGGATGTACGTAAGCGACGAGAGGCACCCAGACAGACAGACGGCCATAGCATCGCTGGCGAGCAGCCACGAATCAATGGTCTAAGATGCTTATTGAAAGTTTCTCGCCGTGGCTGCACACACAGAGAGAAGAGAGAGTACTCTGTCGCATCTAGAGGTCGGCAAGCGAAAGTCAGGCAGGCGGCAGTATGTGCCAAGGGGGCTGGGAACTTGTCACTGTCATTCGTGACAGGCGCTCTGCTCGTAATGGAGACGGAATTCGGTAGATGGAAAAGGGTTGTGAGTGGTTTAGCAAAGGGGGCCGAAAGGCGTATTAGCGCCAAGGAATGGACTCGATTCCGGGGCGACGGTGGCTGCGCTAAGGCTGCAAGGTTCGGTGATGGTGTAAACGGTGAACGATCAACCTGCGGATTGACGACGATCCTTCATTTGTGGTGCAGATAGTGTGAGAAAATGGGACAAGCCTGGAAGACGGGACCAGACGCTAAGGTAGTTAGCGCCTACATCAGGAGGGAAAGCAACGAGAGGGGGGAGGGGAGAGACGTACCTACCTTTGTCTTTGGTGGGTTGGTGTGTATCGTCACCGTCGTGCCGAAGGGTGGAAGATGAGATGAGGTCGATATAGATTGGGCTGTGAGATGCGGGAGTGTGGGAGGTTGCCGATGGGACTTACTGTATTCGTATTTACCTTTACCTAGGTACACTCCAGATAGGAAGGGGAAAGAGGGCAGGGGAGGGCAGGGGAGGGAAGGGGAAGGGAAGGGAAGGGAAGGGACCGCCTTGGACTTGGATACGTACCTGACCTACCTACCGGTCGGTACCTACCTGTGTGTACCGAAACTGACTGCGGCTGCCTTCTTGCGACTTACTCAGCCTCGAGCTGACATAATAAACATCGGCCGAGAGTGGGTCCTCCAGAGAGAGGACCGTGCATCCCCCCATTCACCTACCTACCCAAGGTAGGTGGTACCTAGGTAAACCTCCTTCCGTCAATTCGTGACGTAACCCTCATGTCTACTTGATGATCTACGAGCATGACCAGAAGACGACAATGAACAATTTGCCCGTCTATTGATAGGTCTTTGCCGACGATTCTTTGACATATGTCTGGGCTCATGCTTTTCCCCGACATTGAATCCTCCTCGTTTCCTCCCCCCATGCTTCGTCTAGCTCCGATTCGGCTGTTGGCTCACTTGCCTCCTCCCAAGGCCAAGCAAGACACACACACACACACACCCATACCACAGAAGGAAGAGTGGGGGGAAATAAAAGAAGAAAAACACACACACACACACACACAGAGAGAGAGAGAGAGAGAGAGAGAGAGAGGAGGAGAAGAAGACGAGCATCGATGGAGAGCCACGCCCTCTGGTTTGCCAACTGGCACAGTCATGCAGGCATAATGGAAGCGCTGCACCAGACGGACACCAACAAAGCAGTACACTTGGTGTTAAAGCACATTTCCACGGGGCGTGTCCGCTTACATGTCCTTGGACCGAGCAACCTGCTCCCATCATTTGTCATGGGGTCTGGCTTGCTACGGTTTGGCCCACCGTCGCCGCCAACTCCCCGATTTAGAATGCCGCCTCATCGACCACGTCTTCGAGAATCATCTCCACAATTCCCACAGACCGGCCGTGGCTGTTCTTCTCACTTGATCAACAAGAGTCATGTTTTGCACTGCGAGCCTGATTGGATGGATATCGACGACGACGACGACGACGACGACGACGACGACGACGACGACGACGGACAAATGGCTGGTCTCGCAAGACTCACACATTCAGGGACTCGATCCGCCGAAGGGGCTTCTTAAAAACGGGGCATAACAATGGAGGCGTAAAAAGCAATACGCATTGTTTCTTCACAACAAGGGACCTTGTCTTCGGTCGGTCAACACTCACTCTCGGGTCATTGACGATTGGACTGAAAGCCGACATGTTAGTACTGCGACGAAGAAGAAACGACCTAGGAACAAAACAACAAAAGGGATTTGAGATGGGGAGAAAGAAAGCGGCATTGCTTATCCGCAGCCACTGACCACTCAAATAAGCTCCTTGCCATAGGATTCGCTATATCCGGCCCTTGCTGGTGCGCCCCTAATCATCTCGCTCCCGACTGCCATGCGGCTAAGACGTACATGGCGTGCGTGCATGCATACCAACCGCGCGCCATATCGAGCAGGATTCTTGCGGTGGGTAAACGAACCGGCTGGTCTTGGGCTGCAACTACCTAGGTTGAGCCAAAGATAGACAAATCTTATTTACTTTTTCCTGGTCGAGAGATTGGCGAGCTCGACTTAATCAATCTTCCAAAGTTGGGGCCCCCTACTAGGTACGGCATCAACTCGAGGTCGCCATCACAACCACTACTATCTATCATCCACCCCATCCATCCTAACGCCCGTGTGTGGACGCAGTATCCACTGATCCGCTCAAGGGTGGCAGGGGTCGGCGGAGCCTGTTGGGTTTCCATGCCTGTACTGCACACAGGGATCTTCGTGTCAGTCTCGGCACCTCTCTACGAGATACGTGTCTCCCACCTGTTACAGCATAGCAATCGGAACCGCAGACGGGAGGACAAGGTACGCATATACAACGAGAGAGTCTGCAAAGTTTGCAAGTATCGTATATTCTCCGACCGTTTTGTCCCACCAGGCCGCCCAACTCACGGACGGACGCACTCGTCGTGCCAACGTACAGTTGAACCGGCTGCCTCACCACCCACCCCTCTTCGCCATGCTCGCCGACCGTCGCGCTTGTGCCAAATTGCAAGAGCATGCCGCCGCTCAGACAGCGGCCTGATAGGATGAAAGTGCCGAACAAAAAAACTCGAGGCCGGCGGTTGAAACGGTGCCTCGGCACGTTGCCCATTCGCCAACATGTTCCCCATTCTTCAAGGCCTGGCGATACAAGACTGCCCCGGCAACCGGGCGTCTCGTTTAAACACATCCTTGGCTCGTTTGATATGAGCACAAGGGGCCAGCCAACCGAGCGGCTCACCGGCAGGCAGGCAGGCTTCTCCTCGCCGGAGTGCTCTCCGCTGCAGACATGTACACACACATCCTTCTCAGCGGCCTTCCTCAAAACACGCTAGGCGACCCGACGAGAGAACCGCTAACAACTAACCGTTGTCTCCTATTTTCGGCTCCGTGCCTCGTGCGATGCGTGTTGCGCGCGCTGCACTTCAATGATGCCGACCCCCGATACGACACGAGAAAAGAAAGGGTTGTTCGTTTCAGCGTTGCCTAGGAATTGCGGCAGGATGCACTCTCCAAACGCAAGCACGCTCGGAAAACATCTCGCATCTCGCATCTCGCAACTCCCTATAGCCCTCCACGTGCATTCGTCATTTCATCTCAATCGCAACACCCCCAACGAAGAATCGACAGCCTTTTGGGGGAGAGAGGGGGGAGGGGCGGTTCCGGTGACGGTGAAGATCCGATGCCAACCTCGCCCGTACTCTCCTACCTAATCTTATGTGCCGTAAAACTTATTATGCGTGTTTTCTTCTTTTTGTGGCTGCAGCCAAACCTCGCCTTGGTGCCGAATTAAAAGCCAGCGTTGAAATGGGATGCACCGCTCCCCCCTCTCCACCAACGATGCCAGCCTACCCATCCGCTATACGGATAGAATAATTGCATTTCGTTGCTTTCTTCCCCATTCTACCTTTGATGATTTGGCTCTTGTTTTCTTCTTCTTAATTTGAGGAAATTTTGAGCTGATCCTTTCCAAGAAGCAGTTGTCACGGTCAGATTGCCTCGCAAACTGCGCTGGCTTATCCGTGTTATTGACCATCAGCTCAAGTGCCCTCGCCATTCACCGCCAAACGAGCTGAAGTTGAGATGATCCATGCAGCCGGTAGGTAAACACGGCGTCACGTCATCGCTTGATTCCCCGACCGTCAGCTAGAACCTTTGGGCCGCCCCAATATGCAGAGTGCTTGATAATCGTCGATCCTTATTCCCGCAGCAGTGAACGGCTCTTCCGTGACTATTGAGAGACGCTCGAAACTAAACAAATGATATAAAACAAAAAGAAAAGGGGGGAAAACCCGTTGAGGCTGCCTCATCCTCCTCGGGCGCAGAGCCTCAGCATTAAGTTTTGTGCAGCCATATGCACACATCTGGGCACACTCGTCGTCGTATCAGATTGTGATCGCCCCGAACTAAGAAGACGGCGTGTTCGAGCTTGCTCCTAACCGCATTTCCAATGGCGGTAGTGCATCATTACCCGCTCGGCAACCTTCCCGATTTACGTTGCTTGACTGGCTGGCTGGTGAAATTCGGCCGCCATCAGACCATTTCTAACCTGAGTCTCGCGCTCGGACGTTGCGGTTTTTTTTCCCTTCCCCTTTCCAGTCGAACAGCTTTCTTTCTTGGGCAGACAAAAAACGACAGCTCGACACCAGCACCAATTCTGGCAGGGGAGAGACAGGTTTGACAGACGCCATCGCTGGCTTGATTTCGCGATTACGAGTCACTCACAGATTGCGCTGGGAAATTCGAAGAGACGTCGAAACACTTTGGACACCGTTCCACGCAACGGCCACCCCCCCTTCTTCTGCTCTAACTTCTCAGGTGAGAAAATGCTACGGTGGCATTGATCGGATGCAAAGACTTCAGTCGAAACGAAACAGCACATACCTATCCCAGCCTCAGGGAAGATTCCAGGCATGCATCACGCGTCTGCGTATCAAAAGGTAGATACGCTGCAAAACAGTCATCCGGTGATGCCCCCACAGGGCTTTCCCATTCGAGTGCCCGTGTGTTCCATAGTTCGGCAAGGTCTCGCTCCCATCATCGTCTCGTCGCTGGTAGCGAGCTCAATAGTCTAGCTGCCGTCCGTCCGAGCCAAAAAGCGGCAGAGCAGGTCCAGACCGCGAAGGGACCCTGAGAGAGGGAGAGAGAGGGGGGGGGGTGCTTCAGCTTCCGGCCCATATACTGTAGATCACGGGGAACGTGCCGAGAATGCCGGTCCACGTCCACACAGTACCGGTATTAGCATGGGCAACGTCGATCGCTTGAGAGGAGACCCCCCGTCACGTCACCCATGAGCGTCAGCCGCCCAGGGTAGGGTTGGACCCTTGCAAGCGACTTGACAAACGCGAGAGGAGGGGACCGTTTCCCGCTTTTGACTTTGCCATGCGAGCGGCATGACTGGATGCCGCAGGACGAGGACGGATTGGGGTTGCCTAGAATGGTACGTGTCTACGAGCATCCTGACGCCACAACTGTATAGGCACAACTGCATAGATTCTTGACTCTCCGTCAACGTTTTCACCGGGTCAGCGACAAGTCATCATTCTGTCATGACAACTGTTGCTCTCTCTTGTGACACAACACCCTAAATCCTATCCTGCGCTCCGGCCGACGCGAGGTCCTACACTTCCGCCGCAGCCAGAAGAGGTGTGGGGGGATCGAAGACGCTTAAACAATCGATAAACAAGCGTTAATTTCTAGCAGACCGGTATAGTAATCACTCGAGAGACAAAACAAACTGGAAGGTGGGGGGAAGAAAGGCGCAGGATCGGACCGGTCAAACAGACCCTCGCAATCCCACGTCCTACAGGGGGGGCACTAATACCGACAGCTGCATGACTGGGGTAAGGGGGAGAAGGTTCCTGCCAGGATCGCCCGCTCTCGCATTCCCGAGACATGCGTGCGTAAGGCGCGGTAGACAATCCTACTCGTTCGCTCGACCGGGGATGGGGGGGGACCGCCCCGGCTGACTGAGATGTGAGATGCTCACCACCCACGGCTTACGGCCCGCAGCTAAGAAAGTGACACCGGCGCCTCCAAAGCCGACCACGGCGCGGGCGCGCCATGCAGAAATAAGCAATGACGATGGAGACGTGGCTTCGCAGGGCTGTGGAGGGTGGCAGAGAGGAAGAGCGCAAGCGGGAAATTAGCAAGGAGGTGGAACAGGATATTGGTCGTTATTTTCCTAATCAGGGGACTTTACCTGGGTTACACCAATGAGCTTGGCGATGCCCAATGCTCCCCTCCCCCCCGCGCGGGTGTACTCGGTAGACACGCATCCTCTACTTCGTCGCGGTCTGTTTTCTCGACGTCGTATGCGATAGGAAATTGTGCCTTTTTGTGCCTTCTTCGGAGACCAAACAAACAAAGTGTGTACTGGGCCATGGAAAGCATCGGTCCACGCGGCAGCGATGCCTCGTATCTGGCCTTCGCTTGTCCAGAAGAATGACGAGCCCTATGGGCCGGCCCTTGATAGCCCTGTTTCTCGTATCAAGCTGAATGCTGCATGATGCAGGTAGAGTCAAGCCGTCAGCCCACCAAGGGTATCGAGATGGCCACTCGCCCGCCCCCCCTCTCCCTTGACACCGTGGACGACAGCAGCGATTGTATGATTGTCAACCCCCATCGCGTCGCTTACCTCTACCCCAGAAGGGGGAGGGGGGCCTTCCGCCTCCTTGAGCCAATGTATTGATGATGGAATCGACTCGTCTTGTCTTGGATGCCTTTTCGTGCTCTGCCTGCTGCAGGGCCCTTGCTTCCCGCTTGCATTCGCGTCGCGAGGATTAGCCATGTCCACTCGTCATCTTGCGTGCGTAAATGTAAGAAAGACCCCCTTTTTTTTTCTTTTTTTTTTTTTTTAAGGAGGGAAAGGGACTGCGCCGCGCCGCTCGGGTGCATAGGAGCGCGGCACGGCAGCCATGCAATACGCCTCTGCAAAGGCACCCTTCGACCGAGGCCGGCATCGTGGTGTGACAGGGCGCCACGAAGTCGGCCGACCTCCCCCAGCCTTCTTTTGTCAACTCGTACAAGGGTGTGTCGAGCGTTGCCCGCAGTCTTCCATCCGCCGTCGTTGGGTCGAATCCGACTCTCCTCGTCAGCCTCCCACTTGGCCCTGCGAAAAACGGACATGGGGGGAGTCGTTATCGACGTCAGCATTGGGGCCTTTGGAATCCTGATTATCATCGCCGTGCAGAATCCCGCAGACGTGGCGAGGTTGTCGTGGCGGGCGTCCAAAGTCTGTTTCCCAAGGCTCTCGCCCCCCCCCGCGCCCCCCGCGCGCTGTCAGCTGTTGTCCGTCTCCTGTCAGAGCCCATCGAGTTGGGAGACGATCTGGGGCAAGTGTGTTGGTTCAAGACCGAAGGGGTTGTGTCCGAGCAAGTTCGACACATGTTGGTTCCGCAGGGCTGGGTCGCTCCCTTTCGTGTGCGTGCGAGAGTGTGTGTGTGTGTTTGTGCGCGCCGTCTGCCTTTTTGTTTCTCCTTCGAATGATGGCGCCAAGGGCGGACGAGCCAGGGTCACCGAAGGGCCGACCGATACGGGTTTTTGCTCCGCAGACCTGCGTCTCCCTGCCGGAGCGCCGGGTGCGAAGAGCCCTTCCTGGAGTTGCCCGAGAAGCCCGAAGGCAGGGGGGGGCAAGACTCCTCCGGGGGACAATGTATCGACTTATTGGGTTACATTTTCCTTGCTTCCCAACCTGGCTCTCGCAAACGACGAAGGATTTCCAATAATTTTCACTCGCACTTTGTAAGCGTTGTAGATCAAGGGATGGAAAGGGTTTCTGTTGCTTGGTCTCTCTCTGTCTTGCGGTGTTGCCCACGGACAATCACGGAGTTGGCAACATCGGACCCCCAACTTGGGGCCGTCGCGCTTGCGGCCACGCCCCCCCCCCGGGAAGGGGTTAGAGGAAGCCACAATGAACACAACAAGAAAGACGACAAGAGTTTCGATTCCTTCTCGTTCGATGCCAGGAACATCCGAATTTGCTGACGGCCGGACGCAGTGGCTGCGGGATCTCGAGAGATTGGATCCTGCGGTCATATCGGTCGGATGGACGTAGGCCACTCCCCTCGATGGTTCTGCCGACGTCGTCGTCCATGAAGCGAGGGAAGGCCGTCCGTTTCTCCCGCAATCCCACGCTCGCGCCCGTCTCCCTTGCTTCAACTCGCAAAGCATTATGTCTCGCGATGGTACGGAAGCAAAGTGGTCTTCGGACCCGAAGATAACTCGAGAGATCGCCTCCTCCCCCCCCCCCCCCCCCCCCCCAAAATGAACGGGCGGGGGGACCTCGACGGGCGCTACCGTTCGTGGTGTCCGGCGAGCAACGTCCGTGTAAAAAGAAAAAGAAAAAAAAATATAACCATTGCAAGCTTGCTCGATAGTTGCAAAGAGAAGGCCCGCGGTCGTCAAGCTAATCCAATGGCGGTTCGGTAGAGTGCAGATCGCCAGGGCTGGAAGCGCGGGCCAATGAGCCGCAATATCGACGACAGGTCGTTCATGGGTTGGCGTAGCATCGTTCCCCGGACGGGCGTATGCGCCGGACACCTTTCGTCCTCCTTGCCATGCCGAATTAAGACGACGGCGCCGGTGTTATTGGGATGCGACGAACGGAAACGGCCTCTGGATCGCTCTAGGTGTAGGATACCGAGCATACTTGGTCAGTCTAATTTGATGTAGACAGAGCGGTGCCTCGTGGGATACCAACAGTCGGGAGGGTCCGGCGAAATGCCCGACGTCGGCTCTTGTTGCCGAGTAGAGCTGCGGGCGGCGTCAGCGTCCTCTTCGAAGTTGACTCAAACTGCGAATCACACTGCATTGCGTAGGGCAAACGTTCGGTCGCTGCTGTCGTTCAATGCCAAGCTGGAGCGCAGGGGGTAGTTGGTCACTTTCTCGTCCGGACATTGCAACATAAACCACCCGCCAACCTGGCCAGGTATGGCTTTCTCCAAGTCTGCAGCGCGGACTTGTGTCGAGTTTTCGTGCCCGAGTTGACCGAGTCTCGCAATGCTGGTGAGCAAATTTCTGTTGCATTCTTGCCGTTTTGAGCGCCATGTCTGCCATATGCGTTACACCCCTTTCCGGGGTCGCAATCCGTTGAGTCTTGTCTGTACGAATCGCGAGGCGCCCTCGTCTGCTTCAACCTCAACCTCAACCCCTCCCCCGTCACGGAGTTGAACGCGTCAACCTCGTTCTTACCCTTGATTTCCTGGTGGGTCGGCGAGAACGCCATCGCGGGGACGCCCGGCGGGGGCGACACAGCCAATATGGGAAATATATCGGCATGTCGAGCTTGAGAGAAGCAAGTCCTGGCGCGGCGCTCCGGAGTTGCGCGTGTCGTGCCACGCGCCTGCAGTTGACGACGGCGGTCAGCCACAGCCCTTGTCTCTTTCCCACACAATCTGTCTCTCTCTTGACTTCAGTTGATCTGCAAGTCTATGCAAACAGGCATAGCCCTCTGATGGTCGACAGCCGGGTTCGTCTTGTGATGATCCTGGCAATGTAACCGCGTCGGCTTGTCGTATATCGTATAAGTTTGGTATTAGTCCTCCCCTCATCCGGTCCGGTAGCCGCGTGCTTGGCGCGGACGGGTTGCCTCGTCGACTCGGTGATATCAGGAGAAGTCCGTACCCGAGACTCTCCTACCCAACCCATCGTGTGTGTGAATGCGCGTTAATGTCTACGCACGGGCGGCACGTCAACAGTCAACCGTCGATCACTGTCCTCCGGATCACCGACAACAGGACGGTGTTGGGATGGCAGCGCTAGGTTTAGCCCGTTCCCTCTCCCTCATTCTGTTTCTCCGTCTACCCCCGTGGTTCGTGATGCTGTCCGTCTCTTGTTTTCGAACTCCATCTCCTCTGCTTCTCAGTCCATTCATCCCTACCTAACCCGATTTCAATTGTGCTCTATCAAACTTGCAACAAGCCTTACGCAGACTCGATGTCAACCGGAGACTTCCTACTGGATACAAACCCAGTCGGGCCAGAAACAAGAACCAATCAGTGAGGAGCTAGCCGCCGTCATATGGAGCCATGGTGGAGGGTGCGCCGTATATCGACAACAGCCAGTCAACGTGAGCTACACTTGCAGGTCTGAAACGCAGACATGAACGCCTCAGGAGACGTTCTCCCACACCCTCTTCAACGCCAGTGGACTAGGCGGAAATCGTTTTCATCCAGCCATACAGAATCAGGCTTCAGAGTTCCGTGACCCGGGATGCCGCGCGGACCAGAAGCCAACGACGAGTAAAATGAGAGAAAATCAAGCAAGAAACAATATCGGCACGCGCCCGGACAAGTGAATAAGGAAGCAGAAATGAGAGGCGGGGTAGGGGCAGGCGGGGCTAGAGCCGAAGCAATTTTGGAACCAATGCTCAGTCACTAGCAACTCCGGCAGATGAGGATTTCTGGGGTGCAACGAAAGTGTCCTGGACTATGTTGCGGTGAGTCGGTGATCTCTCCTTCGTCTCTTCTTGGCTCTCCCTCTCTGCAGTTTCCCATAATACCGTTCCTTCTTCCCGTTTTGTCCCGGCCTCCTCGGTTATCTGCCAAAGTCCCGTTGACCGAGGGTGAGGGATATACAACACTAGTCGGGGCCCGTCGTCGCATCGGACGGCGGCAGCGGGTTAAGCGATGAAGGGACAAGATCGTCCGGAGGGGATGGATCTTGTACTACACCCCCGATCATCCTAGCTCCTCGTCCCTCGCGGCGTGCCCTGGTTCATTTGTTTTCCCTACCCTTCCACTCTCGTCTATATAGCTGTCAGTCCTCCCCCCTCATCGTCACCTCCTCAACACAGACAACACACCGCGGCACAATAGCTCGTCCGATATCAACATATGCGCCGTTGATGAGCTGTAGATCGATTCTCGACATGACTCCATGCAAGAACTGGCCAGGTCGCCGGTCGATAGCCTTTTGAAACAACAACAACAACAATAACAACAACAACAACATCCAGCAGGTGGAGGGTGCCTTGGAGGGATACGCTTCGAATCGTGGACTTCGCGTAGGGCACTGGCCATTGCAACAATACCACCGCTAGCGAACGACGATTCCACGATGACGGCTCGATGATAATTTGGGGAAGGGGCGACTTAACAACGAGATTGAGATTGTTGGAGTAGGTCTACGGGAAGCATACGCCCCAGCAACGCTTGATGAAAAGGACGCAGGCGCACCGGGCGTCGGTGGACTGGAAAGAGAACGACCCATCCACAACGTTGCTTGCGCGGAAGGCTAGGACTGAAGAAAATAAGGGTCGACAATGGAAGAGGTGGTGAGGCGACCGTGCCAAGGACGACTATATCGAAGCTCCGTATGTCTCCGGTTTCTAGCTTGGGACGAGAAGATCAAGGCCAAACGATTGGAAGGAAGAAAGAGCCCCAGTGAATGGACGCGCCACCACCATCGTGCCTGGACGACGCATAAGCTCCTCGGAACTGGAGTCTGGATTTTGAGGTTTGGTGGAGGGTTCCCTTGAAAGAGGACTATGGTCCCAATGGATGTCGAAAGAACCGAACCTACACCGTTATATTATGGCCCATTCGACATCTACATGATGACGAGAGCCGTTTCCAATTTCTGCGGTGGACGAACAACACGTCGAAGTAGGCGTAAAGCTTGAACGATTGCACGACAAAAGGAAGAGGTCTTGTTGCTAGCCACGGGCGGGAGCGTTGTTCGAACCGAAACCGGATTCAATCCAACCTCCTACTCGAAATGGTCACTCATGGCGATGGATGACCGAGCCGCTTGAGAAGCCATGTCGAAGATGGACATTCGTGATGCTGTATTTTGCGCTCAGGGAAGGCGGCAAGAGGTTGGGTTAAGGATTGGGTAGGCGGGTACATGGATGGACGAGCTGCTCGACTTGGATTTAACAGAACAACACCTCGTGTCCACTTGGACGTTCCTGTTGCTGATATACCGTTGCAGCCTGAATGCCTTCAACGATCCAATGCCAAGATCCTGGAAGCCACGGAGTAAAATTGACGATGCGAAGCCAAAAGGTAGACAACGAGCTGAAGCATGCTTAGCCCCATGAATGGTCCATATGCTTGATGTTGCAGGATCATGTAAGGGAAGAGAAGTGAACAACAGGGAAACAAAATCGCATGTCGGCACTACCCTGCTGATTGATGACTGGCCCACAGCATCTGCAGCATCGACAGCAGAGCTTATCTCTCTCGGGAGTTCGTTTTGGTTTTCGTTGTGTCTTTGGCTGCAGCTTCATAGCGCCGTCGTCATTTGAATAGGGTTGAGGCATGCGGCTAGGGAAGTACCTTTATGGCTGGGTGTCTGACTAAAAGATCGCTAGGTAAAAGCAACGTCGTGATGATGTGTCAGTGCCAGCAGCTTGTCGGTGTTTTTTAGCAGGCTGCGGGGTTCTGTTCCTTGGGACAATCTTGTAGCGGCTGGTTGCATGTTGGGTGTTCGACTCTCAGGGGAACTACTTCAGGTAAGTAACGATGATCATGACAAAGTTCCTACTAAAGGATACTGGTACTTACTTAAATACAACGCCTTCGAAGCGTACTCTCCCACTTGATGAACCGACGTCTGTGATGCCACTGCACAATGACCGAGACAAAGTGCAGTTACCTTTCATAAGAAGTTGAAAATGGGTTCTCTAATCATTCCTTCCTCTCGCCTCTTACCTCGCACGGTTCACTTCTGTCATCCGAGCAATTGCTTAGCTTTTTAGTGACTTCATCTTTGGTCTGAGCGGTGGTTTTCCCTTCATGCCACCTAATGCTGAGGCTGCGAGTGACCCTTGACAACGAGCCGTCAATTACGGCCCTACGCCAGCTTCAAGTGGGACTTCAGTCATGCCCGACAGGTCTTGGGCCCGACCCTCAGGAGGTAATACTCCAGCTCGTCTAGAATATGAAAAATCCATAATCGAGATCCCATCTGGCATTGCTTGATATTCCGAGGGTCGTGCTGCCTGCATAGTGTCATCCCAGCCTCAAAGCAGTGTGAGGGTATTGTGTGACGTCTCGATCACGACGTATAGGTTACGAGGATGTCACCTACATCCAAGCTGTGAGGGTTGAAATTCAACATCGTCATGGTCGTGAGTCAACCTACCAAATTCATGTTGAAACCAGTTGCTCAGTCGCCTCATGAACAATCCATCCGTTGATTCTTTATTTGGTTGGGTTACCGGCTACGAGGCAACATTGTTCATGTTGTAAGGCAGTGTAGATAGTTGTTTTGGATCCTATGCTGTATCGCGAGCGGTACCACTCCGAAACTCTCAGCAATGCACAAGTCAAGTTCAACCACAGACAATGTTTCAAGAGAACAATGTCGTGTCAATAAATATACAGTTCATGTCTTGAGAATGAATGTCATGCCGGCTGACCCCGAAGATGCCGGGCAATCCAGTGTATGACTAATCTCGGTTAAACTACGGCAACTCTTTCCAA